CCTCTTGGCCCCTGTTTGACATGTCATGCCGGGAAATCAAAATTAAAGATAGAGCCCATCTCGGCCAGATTGAGTGGTGCGCCTCATCTTGAATGACACTCGAGCGATGGTTGTCCCACTGTTGCATAATGTGGGCGGACGGAGGTCAGGGTTACAGCCTCGATGCTACTCTGCATGTGGGAGGAGACGGGGCAATGCGACACAATTTGCCCGCCAACCGATTGATTCATTCGGCTGGGTGTTCGCATTTACCCGTCCCTATGGCGGGATGAGACGAGAGAAGTTTATTGCTCAGCTGCATAAACCGAGCTCGGTCAACAGGGGGGGCAGGCAAGGCAGTAGATAAATTGTCACCGATACGGGGGATTGATCTCCGCCAATTGGACAATGGATTGAGCACTTCCTCGAGGTCGCGTCCGGTCAGGGCAGCATGCTGGGGTCAGACTTTGTTTAAAACCCGGGACTTCAGCTCCTCAATTTGTCCCGTAGGATTAGGTTTCACTCTCGAGTCTCCTTCCTTGTCTTCTGTGGTGATCAAGAGAACAAGATTCCCATTCTCCTCCATTCGCAATCATGTACGGACTGCCCCTCCTCCTCACGGGAGCAGCCCTTTCGGCTGGAGCTGCCGCCGCAGACTCGACGTCATACCTCAAAGTCATGGCTGATTCCTACATCCGACGTGGTGTGCCGGAAGGCTATCACTACGGCGAGGCTACGCTCTACACGGGCCTGGAGACCACTCTCACCCAGACCAAGAACGAGAGCATCAAGTCGTGGTACAAGAACCAGATTGATACCGGTGTCCTCGGTGAGGACGGCAACCTCATTGACTGGAACCTGACTTACTACTCGCTCGACGACTATCGCATCGGTAACAACCTGATCTGGTGGCACGAGCAGACGGGCGAGGAGAAGTACGCCGCGGCCGCCAAGGTCATCCGCGAGCAGCTGAACCGACACCCGCGCAATGCTGGTGGCGGCTTCTGGCACCGTCAGCCCAACTACCCAAACCAGATGTGGCTCGACGGCATCTTCATGGCAGACAGCTTCTACTCCAAGTGGACCAGCGTCTACGACCCTGATAACTCCACTGCTTGGGACGACATCATCCTGCAGTACGATCTCATCGAGGAGCACACCCGCAACCACACCACCAACCTGCTCGTCCACGGCTACGACCACGAGAAGACAGCAGTATGGGCAGACCCTGTGACGGGCGCTGCGCCTCTCGTCTGGGGCCGTGCCGTCGGATGGTACTACATGTCCCTGCTCGAGGCCATTGAGACGTTCCCCGAATCGCACGCCGGCCACGCACGCCTCGTCAATTACTTCAAGACCCTGTCCAAGGGCCTGAAAGAGGCAGACGAGAAGGACGGCGGCTGGTGGCTCATCCTGACGGACCCATACCCTGGGGCTGCGGGCAACTACATTGAGAGCAGCGCCCACGCCATGTTTGTCTATGGGTTGCTCAAGGGTATCCGAACCGGTCTGCTCGACAAGAGTGAGTATCAGTCGGTGGCGAGCAGCTCGTACAAGGCCATGATTGACAAGTTTGTCACGGAGAACGATGACGGCACGCTCAACTACATTGAGACTGTCCAGGTCGGATCTCTCAGCTCCAACGGTACCTACGAAGTAAGTTTCCGTCCCCCCATATTTTATCGTTTTGACGTACAGGACTGACTCGATAAACGTAGTACTACATTGGTGTCCCGAGGGTTATCAACGACGACAGGGCTGGCGGTCCCTTCTTGCTGGCTGCCGCAGAATGGGAGTTGAAGTGCAATAAAGCATAGATAATGAATGGATAGTTGCAGATTGGGTTTTCTTATACTAGATTAGCTCGTTCTTTGAATCGAATCAACATCGGTTCCGGCTCAGACCAGACGTCGGATCCGTTCTTCAGCCCCTAAACTCAATTCACTCTCCACACCTCCATCCAATCCATGCTCCCACCACTTCCCTCGAGTCATGACCAGACATCGGATCCGATATGCTTAATCGTTCCACTCTTACCCCAACTTTCAGCCATCTGGCCAGCCAATCTCGAGCCATTGGCCCCGCTGTTGCACGCCTACCCCAGAGTTTCGGCTGCGTCCTTTCCCCAGAGGCCATGTATATGTCAGATATTCTAAGATGGACAAGTACAATCTGCCATGCAACCATGTCCAAGGCGAGCTATGGGTTGGAAGCTCGTTATTCCGCTCCCTCGCCATTGGCTGGCGCCTTGAACCAGCCCCCCTTTCTCCGCCATTTACTCTGTGGATCTATGACAACGTTCCCAGTTTCCCCGTGCGGAGACCTTTGGGATCGGCGTTCGTAGCGCATCGTAGCTGGGCGTTGGCGTAGAACCATTTTCTGCCTTTTTCATGAGCCTATTTGACGATAAATAGCTTCACTCTCCTCCTCTCTGGCCAGTTCCCTGACCTCCTTTGTGTCCCATCCGCCATCCCCAGACCTTCCCCCACTACCTGGCTTGATATTCCCGCACTTCAAGGCACTACACAGGTAGTCCTGGTCCATGATGGATTACGAAAAGCAGAGCGATCCCAAGCTGGCCGAGAACGCCATGTCCACCGAGCATGAGGACCGGCTCTCCGCGAAGATGGCCGGCCAAGCCCAGGGGGCAGTAACTCCGGCCTCATTTGCGCATCTCGACGAGAAGAAGATCCTGCGAAAGGTGTGTTGCTCTCACCGCTGTCCTACGTGTCCCTGTGATGAACTTAAAATTGCTAACTACCGTGTTAAGATGGACCTGCGTTTGATCCCCATGCTGGCCCTTCTGTATCTATTGTCTTTCCTCGACCGTGAGTTACCCCTCCTCCGTACAATCATTCTTGTAACTATCCTAATAACCCTTTTTTGCGCGACATAGGAGGAAATATCGGAAATGCGAAAATCGAGGGTCTCCAAGAAGATCTCAACATGACGGGCGATCAATACAACTGGTGTCTGACTGTCTTCTTCTTCACCTATGCATTCTTCGAGGTTCCGTCCAACCTGATGCTGAAGAAGCTCCGTCCCAGCCGCTGGCTCCCTCTTATCATGGTGGCATGGGGCCTGGTGATGACCTTGATGGGAATCGTGAGGAGCTATCATGGCTTGCTGGTTGCTCGATTGTTCCTTGGTCTCACCGAGGCTGGTCTGTTTCCTGGAGTTGCCGTAGGTCGTCCCTGCCCATCAACCGTTACATCCCCATGCTGACCATCTCAGTACTACCTGACCATGTGGTATTGCCGCCACGAAATCCAGCTCCGCCAGGCCATGTTCTTCTCTGCCGCTTCCGTCGCCGGTGCCTTCAGCGGGCTCCTCGCCTTCGGCATCGCCAAGATGGACGGCGTTGGCGGTCTCGAGGGCTGGCGATGGATCTTCATCCTCGAGGGAATAGTCACCGTCCTCGTCGCATTTGCCTCCTTTTTCCTCCTTTACGACTTCCCCGAAACGGCAAGCTTCCTGACCGAGGAGGAGCGCCAGTTTGTCATCTATCGTCTCAAGTACCAGGGACAGACAACCACGCAGAGCGACGAGGGGACGGTCCAGGTTGCCCAAGCTGAAGACTTCCAGTGGCGATACGTGTGGCAGGCTTTCAGGGACTGGCAGATCTGGCTCAATCTCTTCGTGTACTGGGCTGTAAGTGTTCCCTGCTATTTGGATTTGGGGAAACAGTTTTGGACTAACGTCTTTATCACTTTAGATTGTCTGCCCATTGTATGGAATCAGTCTCTTCCTTCCCTCCATTATCAACAGTCTTGGATACACATCAAGCACAGCACAGCTGTTGACTATTCCAATCTACATCACGGCTTCTATTCTTGCCGTCATCGTGGCCTGGTCCTCTGATCGCGTTGGCAAGCGAAGCCCATTTATCATCGGATTCCTCTGCATGATGGCAGTTGGTTTCATCATGTAAGCGCAGCCATACTCTCCTCACCTAATCTGATCTGTAAATTGTGTTACTAACATGTGGCCAAGGTGCATTTCATCCGAGAACCCTCGTGTTGTATATGCTGGCGTATTCATTGCCACCTGTGCCATCTACCCTGCCTTCCCTGGAAACATCGCCTGGCTATCAAACAATCTCGCTGGCAGCTACAAGAGAAGTGTTGGCATGGCCATCCAAATCGGAGCTGGCAATTTGGGAGGCGTAAGTCGAAGACCCATCATTATCCAGCCCTTCTGGGCTATATTAATCCGACAACATTGCTGACTTTTTAACTTATTAGGCCATGGCCTCCAACTTCTATCGTCAGAAGGACAAGCCACGGTATATCCTTGGGCATGCTCTGGAAATTGGGTTCATCGGGGCAGGACTTATTGCGGCTCTCACTCTTGTTGTTTCATACAAGAAGATCAACAGCAACCGGGAGAGAAAGATGGCTACGGGCTCTACGGGCAATGTGTCGGCAGAGGAGCTTTCTGCCCAAGGTGACAAGGCCGTTACATTTAGATATATGTATTAATGGTAGAGACGATAGAGGTTGGATAGGGCTGTGGGATGAGCTACGATTGGAATAAATGGAATTGAGCGTGTCTTCAAACGATTTGACCTTCGCAATGGCTTCATAATGATAATGACAGTTCCGGCTGATTTCACTCTGTATATGCTAACATGTGATGCGTGCATATCATCTCAAATTGATTTCTATTGTATTGTACAAGTTACATGTTCTCTCTCCTCATATTGTGATTAATTCTCAGGGCTCATCTCCTAGACACACGTGTAAGCGCTGCTCTGAGGCTACCCATGCTTAGAAGTTCGATTATGGAGTTAAATACTAGGGAACTCATTATATCTCTTGAAGAATCTCAGTGTATTGCAAAACAAAAAAACACCATGGCTCTTCCTTTCTGTTCTAAGTTCTACTTCCTTCCATCTATCTGTTTAACCCAACCCGATGGGAACCTAGGATTGCAACTGCCCTGAGACCCGAGCCAGTTACTAGTGTTTCGGCAACATTGATTAGACAAGAGCCTGATATCCAACTGATTGAAGTTGAGTTTCACTGGTCAGCCCTTGGTGGTGTGGTGGGTTTCGCCATTAGATTGCTCCTCTTCTTTCGTTTAGGGATGCATCTTGTTAAAATTTCATCATCATCTGCCTCTGTACTTATTTGATCTTTAGGGTCTTCTCTTCTTCTTTTACGCTTCGTGGGTGCACCGATATCGGGAGATGCTGTGCCATCAGATTGGGTTTTCTCATCCAATGATTGCTCAGGATCAGAGGGAGCTATGTCATCAGATGAAACTTTGCCGTTGGATGACTGACTCTTATTTTGACTCTCATTTTCGGGGGCTTTGCTTGATACCTCTCTGACAGGGGAAATAGATCGATCGCTCGATAGCGGGCTACTATTTTCAGCATGGTTTTCGGAGTTATCGCTCGGTACCTCTTCGACAGGGGGAAGAGCTTGATCCTGCAGCCGCAAGTGTTTTGAGGGAAGCGCGGTCTCTTCTTTGAGGTCTTGGTATTTCCACTGGACGTCAGAGCTATTACCGGCTACGACGTGTAAAAACCATAGAGCAAGGTTCATAGTCCATTCGTTGTAACCCTTCGGGTCGCTTTGACAGTGATTACCCCAAGGGACAGAAACATATTCCAGTAATCCGTTTTCCGCTAGCCTCTCCCGCAAGAGCTCGGGATCTTCAGAACCTGGTCTCTATTAGCTACAGTGTGCTTCGAGGACTAGTTTAACGACTTACCAGGGTTTTCATCTAGAGGGCGTACCCGGAAGAGAAAGGCTTCTTCGCAGGTAATAATGCAACCGTAACGACACAAGAATTTAACACAATAGGTAAATGCCTGCTTGATCGGCCACGATGTGGAATTATTTAGGCCTAGCCATGACCCAGACTCATCGATCACTCCTCTTTCTTTCATCCAATGGCTCTTCCACTTAGTGGCTAGCTTGTATACCTTTAGAAACTTTTCTTGTCCTTTCTCACTCGGAGAATCTGGGTAGCTTGCGATAGAGCCTGAATCTGGGTTTAATCTGTCTAGTGATATGCGTTTATACTTCCTCGTTTTGGGACCAGAAGCTTGTGCAGACTGTACCTGCGTCTTTCGCGGGTGTGATTGAGGTGCTCTCAAAGTTACACCGTCCAAACCCTCCCCTTGAGCCCAGATAAGGGGACGATATGTTTCCAGAATAGGATCGAGGGCTTCCATGATAATCTCTTTGTTCCACTTATTGAGTAACTCGTTTGTCTGCTTTCTGCTGATAACAATGCAGTCTTGAGGCCGAACTCTTGGACGTTGAAGCTCTCTGCCTTCCCGATGAGCTTCTTCGAAGAGTTTGCCTCCGAATACCTCTCGAAATACCCGCAAGTCTTTCATTTCTGTCCACTCCACCACTCTCACAGGATTCACGTAATTCCGGTTAATCGTATTGGCTAGGCGCTTGTTTTTCCCTTCTGTTTCATGACCGCCCTGATCTACTGTCGGGTTTGGATAAGTCAGAAATTGGAATATCGTCGTATCAGGCGCCATCTTGCTTTTAGGCGGAAGAAATGCCGAATAAATCAAGACAATGTATGGTCCACAGTATTGTGTAGAAGTGAGGCCTGCTTGGAGAGTTGCTCACACGGAATTTTGAAGATTCCTGCTCTTCTCTGATTTCTTCCTTTTCAGCGCGGCCGGGAGCTACCACTGTTTATTTTGCACTTCTTTGGATTATTGGACTTGAGGCATGATGAGTTTGAGTAGTATTTATACCTATCTTTTGATTTGCCCGGCTTATGATCCGCTAATTTCCGATAAATTCGTCATTGTACGCGAAGCTAAATGTAGCGTATGGGCTCTACCTCTGTTTACGATATAACGCCTCTCGTGATAAAGCCTGGATTTCCGTTAACAGTATTCTTGGAGGAGTGAAAAGGTCTGGACTTGATTTTGGGAGATTACAGGCAAGGGCCTGCTTACCCGGTATAAAGGTTATCATTTCCACGATTTGTGCCGTCTTTGTCTGTATGATTTAGACGTATCTTTGCTGTGTTCCAATATGGAGGGCTTCAACGTGGACTGGGCGTTTTTTCTTGGGTCTCTCAGGGCGTGGACTTGGTTTGGTAGGTTAACTTAGCATGCAAGGGGCAAGCACAAGAACAAGAACAAAGGAGGAGGAGGAGTTCTCACGGGGGAATATGCTGAACAGCCCTCAAACAGCCATCATTCCCGGGCTCAGCTGACACAGTGGTTGTTATTGTTATTGTAGTTGTTATTTTTAGTATTGTTCCTTTTATTATAGTTTCTCTTGTTGCTGCTATCCTTGTTGCATTGCTCGAAGCCCAGGGCTAGTCTTGAATCCAGATGCCACATGCACGCACCTAGTTTTGTATTACTGAGCATAGGATAATGGTTTCTATTATTGAATTGTAAAGCCTTGTCTACACCGTTCACATCTCGCGAAGGTCGGGCCAGTGCAGCAACCAGGGCCTTCAATGTTCCATGAATCGGGCATGGCACGGCGGCATTGACTGTGGCCATGAGACCCAATGGCCTCGCGCAGCACACCACCATTGATAAAGTCATACACACATTTTAGTGGAATAAAAACTGATTGATGGCTATAAAGGGCTCCTCCGTTGCAGCATCGTTGTGTCTACAATCAGGTTCATGACTGCTTCTGCTCGAAGGAAACCATGCCGAAGAAACAACCCGCCCCACCAATCCCAAAAGAATTGCCGCCCTGCGATGGCCCTAAACTTAATTTATTTGAGCATCATGATTGCGAAATTGAATGGATCGAGAGGATTGGTTGGGAGGAAGGCATGGGGACACCGAACGAGGGATATGTCTTCCGTGTGAAGATCAACCAAGTTGAATACGCGCTGAAAGTGGTGAGTTTTATAGGAAAGATCCACATTCTAATAATATGCATTTAGCTGATTACCATACCTTCAAAGTTCAAGTTCCATAACCCCATCGAGAGCCAGTGGTCATGGGGAACGCGGATTGGAAATGTGCCACTACATACCGTGACGTACTACAGGGACCCGTTTTATAACGAATGCCGAGCGTATGGGCGAATTCGCGAGCCACTAAAGGGGAAGAGAAAGCTGTCTGATGTGGCGATTCCTTGCCATGGCTTCCTTTTTCTTAGTGACCGAGACCAACAATATCTCGAAGACAATGGGTATGATCTATGGTCAAGTATTATCGACAATTCTTTCCAAGAGAAAACCATTGAAGGGTTCAGGATTCGAGCAATCGTAAAAGATCTGGCATCATCAGAACCTGGAATCACAGGGGATAATCTGGGAAAAGTTTTTAACCGCATTGTTGCAATGAACCAGCACCGGATTGTTAACTGTGATATTCGACTGGACAACTTCAGAGACGGAAAAATTGTTGACTTTGGCTCTTCATTCACCTCACCTCACATAATTATGGATTCACTAAAGCCTTCGGATGCCGACTTTCATCAGGCTTGGGATCGTATGCTGTTTGACGAAATGGTGGTTGATGAGCAGATACCAAACCCGAAAAGAGTTCTGGCCCTTCATCCCATGACGCTCCGCCCAAGATTCGTAGGCGGTCAGCCAGTCAAATACTGAATCAGGAGTCACTGACTGAACATATTCATTGGATTAGATCCATATCGCAACTGTCAAAGAATCGACGTCCGCTTGAAAATCCTTTCCTAGAAATATAAGTTTTCGCATTTCAGTTATGTTTCAATAAATGCTCGTTTGAATTTCAATTATATAGACACTCTCATCAAACATAACTTAGATCATAAATCGAACATTCTTGTTTAAAAGGCTAAAGAATATCGTTTATTTCGAGGCTTCTCACTCGCATGCCTATGCTCCTATCAGAGAGTGCGTCTGCCTCCATCTCAAGAGCATCAATAAAAAGCTTATTCAAGATTTACGCTCGCTCGCATCTTTGTCTTCCTAGAAAGCCCCTCTCTCTACAAAAACAAATTGCTGAGGCAACTTGCAATACGCTTGAGTCTTTAGTTCACGTTGATTACAAACAGGAAATTAGTCCCTTATTTAACAGGCTGAGGGCATGAAACTTATATTCTGCAAAGATAATATTAATCAAAGTCTAGTATTATTGAGCCTTGACCGTTCGCGTTAGGGGAACCTACTACATAGCTATTTGGGCATAATCTTTTTAATTTCTCCTTGTAACTAACATTGTATGCCATAGGCTGATCGAATTTCTTGGATTACCGTGTAAAGCTGATAGATTGCCCCTCGCCATCTGAACCGTCCTTAGCGTGATCCGTGCTTGTAAGTATATTAATCAACTTGATTTGTTCGTTGAATTTCATTCCTGAGCTCATAGGCAAACTGAGAACCTCGCGAACCGCTTTTTCGGCAACAGGGCAGGTATTTCCCACTACCGGAAACTTGGCGTAGGGTGTCATCGTATGTATTAGCTTGGGATAGTACACCATCGTCGGAAACCCTTGTCGTTTCAGGGCATCTCGAACGGCCTCTCGTCTTCCTGAAACGTTTTCATCCATCTTATGACCCCTTGGTGGTTGCTTAGAACATACGCGGATAGTATATGAAGCCCACGCGGAATTGAATCCTGCTCTAGTTATAGGTGGAATAATAGGGGGTAAGTTGGCTAGCAACGTCTGGCTCTTGTTAAGCAGTTGTGTGTATTGTGCTGCTATCTCTCGTCTTTTAAACAGCTCTGCTTTAAATGCTTCCAACTTTACCAAGAGGACTGCTGCCTGCAAAGTATCAAGACGACTATTCAGGCCAATCCGAAGACTGTCAAATTTATTATCCTCAGTTCGCCCGTGCCTAGACAGCGAACGAACTGTCTTTGCAATATGAGCATCTTTGGTAAAGATGGCACCTCCATCGCCAAGGCACCCCAACGGTTTGGAGGGAAAGAAGCTTGTAGTTGTAATCGTGGCCAGAGTTCCGACCCTCTCTCCTCGCGCTGAGGTCGCACCGAAGCTTTGTGCGGCATCCGCTAGTAGCCAAAGGTCATGCGATGAGGCTGCGGCATGCAATGCGTCATAGTTTGCTGGGTGACCAAAGATGTCGACGGCAATGATCCCGACAGGGCGGCATCCAGAAGACCGTGCCAACTTGACACCTTGGGCGATGAGGTTTGGATCGATAGTAAATGTCTCAGGCTCGATATCAAGAAAGATGGGCGTCGCTCCAAGCAGAACGACAGGCTCAACTGAAGCTACAAAAGTAAAGGTAGGGACAAGAACAGCATCCCCGGCCTGAATATTAAGAGCCATTAAAGACAGGGTGATGGCATCTGTACCACTGGCGCAAGTTACAACATGTGATGCCTTGGAAAACTTGGCCAACCTCGTTTCTAGTTCATCAACTTCTGGTCCCGCAATGAAGGTGCCCCGATCTAAAACTTTGCCCATTCGCTGATTCAAAGCTTTTCGGATGGTGGAAATTTGAGAGCGAATATCCACGAAAGGCAAACTTTCACCAGTGGCCGTGCCCAATGTGTTGCTGACCATCTGGCCTTCTTCGGAGGCCAAGGTCAACTGGCAGGCTTTATTTGGCCTTTTCAGCTCGATGTATCTCTCTCCTGTTCTTCTGCAAATCAGGTCTGCACCCAGACGCTCGCCGGCTCGGCTAACCCATCCAATCTGGGACGCAGGATTTCCCACAACGAGTGCATGAGGTGGAACAGACTTGGTGATGACAGCCCCAGCACCAACCATGCAATATTCGCCGAGCTCAACTCCACATATAACGGTCGAGTTCGCCCCGATAGTTGCTCCTCGTCTGACTTTGGTGTCTAGAAACTCATTCTTGCGTTCGACTTCGGCACGCGGCGTCAGCACGTTTGTGAACACGCACGATGGTCCACAGAACACACCATCTTCAAGTAACACGCCGCTGTAGATGCTGACATTATTCTGGATCTTGCAGCGGTTACCGATTACCGCGCCCCGGCCTACCATGACATTCTGACCGATGATGCAATCCCGGCCGATCTGGGCTCCTTCTAAGATATGGCTGAAGTGCCAGATTTGAGTGCCTTCTCCCACCGTGCCGTCAGCCTCAACTACCGCCGTCTCATGAATTTTAGACGAAGTGAGAGCCTTCATTTTCATTTTCGCCGGGGGCAGAGTCCCGTCAACCTTTATCAGTCCTGGGGGTGAATGCTTTGAGCATTGATGGCTAAGAAGACCATTGCCATCCATTGCCATCTCAACAGCTGCTAGAACGTGAAGCACGGAGAGCCCTTCAACTATGTTGGCGACGGGCTGCCTGTTTTCCCGAATGCATGAGAGAAACTCTTGGCACTGAGCAGCCAAAGGCTGGGCGGCTACAAGGGGCACTGTTTGTCTTTCCCCGTTCTTGGCCTCTGGAAGGCCATTTGGCCAAGCAATTTTGTGTCGAAACAGCACTAGTTTGGATTCCCATGGTTGCATATCATCAAAGACAGCCATAGCGTGATCTCCAACTACCACTAGCTTTCGTTCTTTAAAGGGGTAAGCCCAGGACACGGAGAATTGTGCATGCGCTCCATTAGCAAACCGGAGATGCGCTGAGACACTATCCACGATGCCCGGCGTCAAGTAGCCAACACCCTCTGCTGTAACGGTCTCGGGGCTTTCGCCTCCAAGAAGCGCCAGAATCATGGAGACATCATGTGGTGCGAGGCTCCAAAGCGCGTTTTCAACATGCCGGATTCGACCAAATGCGAGACGAGTGCTATAGATGTGGCGAATTTTGCCAAGTTGACCATCCGAGACAAGAGATCTGAGCTTTATAAAAGCTGGATGGCAGTGAAACAAATGTCCAACCATGACAACCTTGTTTGTAGTTGCCGCGGCGCGCATGAGGCGTTGCCCATCGCTTACAGCCAAGGCCATTGGCTTCTCAACCAAAACATGCTTTCCGGCAAGAATTGCCTGAGCTGCCAAGTTAACATGGGACGCTGCCGGGGTAGCTATAACAACTGCATTTATGGTGGAATCCTTTAGCACAAAGTCCCACTGCATAGCCGGTACTCCGTATGTCTGGGCTTGTTTCTCGGCCCGCGCGGGTATTTCATCCACCACTCCCACCAGACATTCGAGTTCTGCAAACTCTTTGATCAATCTGACTCCCCATTCACCGCAGCCGATTACCACAACCTGTATAGTTGAATTCATCTTGTAAGTTGATGAGAATGCGTTAAAAGTAAAAAGCTTTTCAGGCTTTAAGAAATCCTAAGTTGCTTGTGGTGAGATCAAGCCCTTGAGACAAAGACGGAATTACCAGACAAATATCAAGACTGGTATCATTCATAGCAACACCTGCTTAAATCGTTTATGGCGAGCTGACAAGATGCCTCTTATGGCGGATGAGGCTCAAAATCAGCTGTTAGCGTGTTGCATGCATGACCATCCCATGCAACCCTTTCGGATGGGGGGCGTGAGCGTGTCATGCGGCCATTGGCTGCCCAAATCCTACGACCTCGGGAGGTTTTTAATGGGTGTAACCTCAGCATAGGACAAGTGACGTGACCAAGCTGAACAGCTAACAAATAGCAGTGAAGTTCCGTGGACTTTTGCCAGGGGTGATGGACCCAGGCGCTATCGCTCATGACTGGATAATAACAAAAACAGAAAGCATGAGTACGATGCTCAATATTCTTCGATTCTATAGTACAGAGTATGAACCAATAACTTGGTAAATAATTTCAACGAGTACGGCGCTGCTGCTTCCTTTTAGACCTTGAATAAATTCTGCACTTCTAGACAGTAAAAACGATATGGAGTATCTGTTTCCAACAGCATAATATGAATTTTCCATGAAATAAAATGAAATAAGGGCAAGACTATCGAGGATTCCATGTGCAGTTGGTGAAGGCAGTGTTCGGAATTGAAGGCTGAAAATAAAGAGCGAGGGCAATATCAGAACAAAACGACCTGAAAACCTTTTACCCTTCAGAGATTTATATAGAGCTTCTATACGAAAATATGGCTTGCTAGAAGCAATGATTATTTGGTAAATTGTCAGAAGGTCAAGCTTTGGCGTGTTTAATAACTACGCCATGTGAACCGTATCGTCCATGGCAAGCTCCAACAAGGAAGCCGCCCTGAGTGATTTTATCATCATCAAGGCGTTTGAGCAAGTCATAAGGATTGTATTTCAACTCATGACACCCAGCCTGATATACATCTACACAAAACAGGATAATCTTTCACGTGCGGGTAACGCAATAGTCATTTATCGCTTAACGGTTTTTCGGTATCAAGTTCAGTTTAAGGATGACATTGAAAATCCACTTGCACAGCTTACAATCCGAGATGTTGAGTGGTAAAGAACTTCATTGGGCCCTAGAATTCCTTCAAATTCTGCAAATCTTCCGCATCCTTCACCTCCTCTGGTGGCCTATGTTGAATTACACGTGCATTTTAGCAAGCGACTAAAAGCGTAAACTTGCTCTAGTAGAGGCTTCGCTTCAAAGGCCGTTTTGTTTTCGGCGCAGGACTTCGGAAGCTTGTCCGGCCATCTTCTTAACGAGGTCTACAATCTTTCTGAAAGACGGATCATCTGCCCCTGGAAATCGTATCAAATTGCCGTGTTTGACGTCAAGAGCGAGTTTCTCGTGTTCAGGAAGGGTGGCTGATTGGCAGTTTACAACCTTGAACGTGTTATCTCAAGTCTCTCTCCAGGGAATGGTTGATCATGAGCATACCATCATGGATAAATCACTTTCCATCGTGTCTTGTAGCTCCATCCACAGCTTGTCAAGCACCCTGTCATGTTGGCCAAATCTCCAGCCTCTCCTTTCGCGCATTTTCCTCTGTAGGTTCTTTCTGACTTTACCCATTGATGTGCTGTAGTCCGCGTCTCTTGTTTCGTAGACACAACATACAGGGAAGCCAAACTCGGGTCGTGAATTCAGTTGCCTAAAATCTTGTACTATCTCCTCTAGTTCGCGGCTGTCACTTTTCAAAAGACTTACGAGGTATTGAGAAGTATCTTTCCCGAGATGTTCTCCGATACGCATCCGCAAGTTGCATGTTTCGTATAGTATAGCGTGACTGCCTGAAAACGGAGTACCCATGAAAATAGCACCTGCTGTCTGCAGCGGAATTAAAGAGTATGGGGACTGATAGTCTTCAGCCACGGCCTGAGAGAACGCCTGTATACCATTAGTGAATGATGCGTGTGAATGTGGGAGAACTGATAATACTTTAAGCAGCAGCAGCCCTCCAAAGCAAGCAGCAATAAAGATAATAGGGCGAGTTTCACCGTCCTATGGATAATTAGCTTCAGCGTAACAAGACTCTGGCAGGGTCGAGATAATACTGGGCCTGTGGACTCTGTTGCGGTCCTCAACTTGTATAGTTGTCTCAGCAACTCATCTGCATGCTCTGCCATATTCTTCATGGCCGCATTCTGATCAAACCCAGAGTTCCACTCGTAGGTGAATATCCTTGAGTTCGGAATCGCGGCAGGCAACATTTCTGGGTCTTGGAGCCAATTTGTTCCTTTAGGCTCTGCCTCGCTGGATTGCTTCCAAATGTAAGAAGCATGCGTCGTTCCAAGACCATGGATAGCAATAATACTGTCTCTATCTCAGCCACTCAAGTCAAATACAGAAACAGAGTGCTGGCCAACCTACTCTATGAGGGCTTTGCATCCGCGCGAGAACTGGGAGGTTGCGTCCCAGGCAGGACATCGGGGGGTTCGAATATCTTGTGAATTCCCAGGCGTAGGGTATAGTTGAACTAATTCGGACGGGCCTCGCTGTTTGGCGCACCAACTCTCAGGCCCTTGGGGGATTTCATGTGGTTGGGCATCATGACGCTCCACTATGGGAGCCCCTTTGCTGTCCATGGCGGTGGCTGTCATAGAAGGCCGGAGTACGCAGGCATTAGTGGGCGGTGCTAAGTCGAAAACGATATTCCACCACAATCAGGTCTGTCTGGAGAAGCAGGCCACTCGGTACGAAGTGCATAGCTAAAAAACCATGTTTTCGAGTGGTGGCGTAATGCAATTTTTTTTTTGTGTTGCTGAGGGAGAGCCAACGGGGGGGGCCTCAGCCACAACGGTGTCCGGACTCACCCCCTACAAGCCTGACCGCCAAGTTTCAGTTGCAAATATGGGGTGATTCAAGTTTGTAGTATCATTAATTCTCAGTTGGCATTTCTAATCTAATCTATACGCAATAATTATGTTTTCCACCTGCCTCTAGGAAGCAAGTGGTGGTAGTATCAATGTCTAGTATCAATCCATGTACGCCAAAACGGGGTATGGGGTGGCCTCCTTTTCTAACGTATTAAACGGTACCACTCAGTAACGACGGCGGTACGCGACTCATTGTGACTTTGCTCTGCTCAAGCACCCAACACGTCGTACACAGCTCTGACGCAGCGTCTGGCTGTCTGATTTGCCATTGGCAGCGATCTGTCCATCTTATTCATGGTAAAGGCCAGTGTAACCTGCCTGTCGCAGTCCATCACGACCAGCGAGCCGCCCCATCCACCCCAGTAGCACACTCGGTTTCCCGTCGGCAGCCATTCATCGTCAGGGAGGTCACCACCCCCAGTCAGAGCGTAACCCAAGCCCCATCGAAGCGGTTTCTGCAGGACCAGATCTTCGCCGCGGGAGTGTTCCTGGAAAATCATGTCGATTGTCTCGGGGCGCAGGAACTGCGTCCCGTTGGCATCCAACCCGTCGCGGGAGATGGTAGAGAGAATGGTGGCGAGCGATCGAGCATTCGAGTACGCGGAAGCAGTCATCGGTGCATCATGGTTACGGATAGGGTTTTTCAGCGTCATTTCAGCAACTGGCCCAAGCGGGTAGCGACCAACCGGAAGCCTGGTTGGATCATCATCACACACGATTTCAGCTTTGTTGCCCTGGAATCCGCTATTGTGGAAATAATCAACCTGCAGCGCGTCCAAGATCTTGGTCTGCACCAAGCCTGCCAGCGTCATGCCTGTCGTCCGACTAACCACCTGCCCAAGGAGATGACGCCAGGTACCTGTGTGGTAGCCCGAAGCAGTGCCAGGTGGCCAGAGAGGGGCCTGGCCAGCAAGCAGGGTGGCCATCAGATCCTCATCAGCAGCCTGCTGGGGGGCAATAGGCTGTCTGATCCCGCTCATACCAGATGTGTGAGACATGATGTGGCGCAGCTGTATGCCCTCCTTGCCGTTGGCTGCGAACTCGGGCCAGTAGGTTGACACCCTGGTGCTTGGGTCCAAGATGCCGTTGTCGACAAGCTTCAGCATAGCCAGTGACGTAACTGACTTGCTGCAGGACCAGATCGGCACTGTCGTGTTTCGGTTCCACGATCGGGTTCTCTGTCTGTCCTCGTAGCCACCGTAGAGATCTACGAGCATCTGGCCGCCCATATCCAGCGCGAACGATACGCCGATCTCATCACCGTCGTTGCAGGCGTTTTGGAGGATGGAGCGAATTTCCTCGAATCGAGATTCGCAAAAGCCGTGTATGTAAGCCATGTTGGGCTGTGTGTATGCAGGGAGTGAGCAATGCAGAGCTCCCTTTTTTTTCACCTGGAAGCTGACCTGGGCAAGGGCTTATAAAATGCTTAGAAGAAGCGGGTTGGATTTTTCTATCGATGGCACAATTTCGCAAAGAGACAGCCCAACGCCAACCGTACAGGGGCGGGCACATATGTGCGAATAACGAAGCTAACCCCCTTCACGACTGCGGCCTGCGTGGAGGTGACTGACTACCTGCATTGCCCCCCCCACCGATTCGTAAAATGAGGAAAACAGGGCTGACTACTTCAACTACAACCTTGTGACCTGGAACAAAAACCGCCTGTTCATCTGGTTTGCCCAGCTCGTTCTTCCACTCCCCTGGATTAGTTGGGATTTGACGTCCCACTTTGACCCGGTCTCCTCTGACACTTGCTGCATGAGCTTTTCGAAAGACGCCTCATTGTGCCGAAAGGTGAGTTTATTCCAGGTTGCTTGGGTGGGGATGCCGTGTACATGGCCAGCAGACTCTCCAGCAAAGAAAGATCCCTGCACTGGTTTGAGCAAGCTCACAATTGTTTTGCAGGCCGTGATCTGGTCGTCCCAGCTGAGCATGTGCAGAAACATGTCCATGTAAACCATGTCAAACGATTGATTCATCTCGTCCAGCGCTGGACTCTGATGGAGAATATTTGCCTTGACGAAGCGCGCTTTAGTATCTGAGTCCTTGAAGAGCTGGAACCCGGCCTCAAAGAACCGTTCGTCCAGATCTAATCCGACCAGATTCTCGGCTGGGGCACCGTCATGGATGAGTTTGCGTATGTCTTGGCCTAGGCAACAGCCAACGTCAATGAGACGGCCACCGCTTTGAAGTCGCCTCAACACAGTTTTATGGAGCTCCTCGTCATGGGCCATGTGCAGCTCTGTAAAGAGGAAACGCCCAAGGCAGGGCATTGGGTTGACTTCCCAGGCCAGATTGCGCTATATTAAATATGAGCTCATGCGCCCAGGAGGCACAGCTGTGGAATGAGGCTTACTACGGAGATGAGATGTTGCTCGACGTCTTCCGGGGCCACACGGCCATATTCTTCCAGCAGTGCCCGGAAGGCAGGAGAGAGCTGGCCTGGGGAATTGTGAAACCACTGCACATCACGAGACCTCAGATCCGGCGTACTACTCTCGCCGCCACTGCTGATTCGCACGTGGCTGTGCTGAGGCACATCTTGGTCGTCATCCGACATAGTTACAGGAGATGCCATGGTCATAGGCAATGGTGAGAAGGAAGAAGAAGTTTCGACGTGAGTTATAATTGAAGTGCGCAAGTGTGGAAGCCGTTGGGCATCATAATATGTAGGCTGATTGACATCGTTGCTCAGCCTCCTCAGTGGCTGATTCACGTATGCAGACCCTCAATCAGAGTCACGTCTGGCCTAGAGCGGAAACGGTCGAGATCCCTTGACCTGTGCTACCTGAACACGTGAGGGTGAGAAAAAAAAAGAGAAAGCAACACTGAAGAGGGGTCGCTCTAGAGCTGGACCTCCCTCGTTGGCTGTGGCTTGTATGTATCTTCATGCAGGCGCCACACACCTGCGCACAATTGTGTTCAGCAACAATTGTGGTCAGCAACAGCTGTATCTAACAACAGCGGTGCTTGGCAGGACATGTGTCCTCTACTGGGATGTTGGGCTTTCGTATTGCCCAACTAGCGGTAGAGCCCCCCATTATGCTTGCTGTTGGTTCTTTGGACCTCCCAAGGGGGCCAACATAGAAATCTAAATACCTTGAATCTGATTCGTTTGTAATGGCCTCCGTCTAATACGGTAGAGATGTTTCTGGCGGTCAGCAGCACAGTTTCATTGCACTGTCTAGAGAGCTGCACACCTGGTTTTGGTTTCTATCGTTTCATGACTTCAAAGAGCACCCTCGTAATATTAAACAAGTAAATTAATAGCGCAAATAAATAAAGATTCAAACTACATTTCGCGACGGTTATTTGTCGCTGAGTGATGACTGGAACATAAGGCTCAATCTCAAATATTGTGAAAATAGCTCGCTCACCTTCCCTAATGATACAACGGGCTTCTGAACAAGCTGAATGCCTATGGCTCGGTGTTGAAATAATCTTCACCTGTATCCTGAAGTAGATCGCTGGTAGAGAAACAAAAGTCTGAATCACCAGGAAAACTCGCCTCTGTCCCGATATACGAAAAGGCAAATGTTGAAGGCGGGTTCTCGGACTGGTTACCATACGGAGAGCTCTGTGTTGCTCCACCATACGGAGAACCTTGTGGCAGTCCATTATACGGGGAGCCCTGTGGCATTCCCATAGGAATAGAGATGAATTCGGATGACGCCATGCTGTGTTCGCCAACCAACACTTGAGAAGTTCCTAGAGAGCTACGACCTCTAATATCAAGGCCGCTATCTGCGGAAGGAATTGGAACTGCATCACTTCCCAAAATTGGGCCTCTTGTATTCCTCCAAGAATCAAACACTCTGTTGACTCCGCGTACAAAAAGGTTTTGGATCTGGTGCCTCTGGACGCTTGACATGGACGCACTGGCCAAGAATGGATCGCTTTCAAGCTCCTCAGCTAGAATGCCTTGGGCTCGGCGATCAAAGAATTCCTGGAAGGCACACATATCCTCTGAAAGCTCAGAATCCATATATGGCGATCTTGGCCCCTGAATCCCTGGGAAAAGAATGGCCCAAATGTGATACCATCTCTCCGATTCAGACAGATATTTCTTTGATTTTGTAGAAAGCTCTCGACTTTGCTGATGCGAGATCCCTTGCAGTTCAGCTGTTGGATCTCGTTGGCAATAGTCCCCATTTGCGTGGGTGACATGCTCCTTATGGTGTTCAGCGTCTGCAAAAATTGCAAGACAACACTCACAGTAGAATTTCGGAGTATGCTTCCTAGCTAGATGCTGCTTTACGTCCTGCACTCTCACGAGTTTGTACTTAAAGCAGGCACGGTGATGGTCGGCATTCTTCTTCCAAAACGGACAGGCCCAATGCTTTCCCTCGACCTCGGAGTTTAGCCTTTTACATGGCTGCTTAGATGGGCTGGGCTCCCCATCGTCGGCGCCATCAGGGGGCAGGGCTCTCTTGCGTCTTTTTGCTTGATTAGCGTTGGATTTAGTCGTATCACTGGATGTTGTTTTCAAGGTTGAATTGCCACCACTGCCACTTTCTTGTTTGTGGCCAGGGTTTGCACCTCGAAACTCAGACCATAGCCGCTCAAAGCAACCGTCCAGAAGGTGATTACCAGACTCGCCCAAACTCAAAGATTGCATACTATCAGATGACTCTTCCAAGGATAAAATATCCGAGTCGAGATACTCCGAGGATGAATTACGGCTCACACTCAAGCGCTGTCCGTTTTTCGCATTACATCCCTGGTCAAACGCGATGGGTTTGGAGTCGGAGACACCGCTACCAGAACGAAGTGATACTTTCGACGGCCTTGGATCTAATTCCCGCATTAGTAGGTTTCCAGACTAGTTAAGAATGTGTTATCCCCTTACCGTATATGTGACGCCCCTCTTCTAGAAGTCCTTTCACAGAGACCGTTATACGACTAAAGCCCGAGGGGTTGATATCGCCTCGATCTGCGTTCATCCAGACTAGGATGTTTCCAATTGTCTGGGACAGAAACAATACAGTCTTCCGGCCTTCAATGAAAATAGCCCCCTCAATGAGTGTTACATCCGATGCGTTACAGAAGGCAAGTAGGTCGGAGAGAGAATGCATTTCAAGTCCATCACAGCCGTCGGGCCGCGTAAGAACAGGAAATCCTACGACAAGGGGTGGCATTCCAAGGCATTCCTGCCATTCACGTAACACTGGAGCTAGTGCAGGCTTTTGAATGATGTTTGGACATATACTGAAGTGGGCGGTGGGCCCAATTCGCTGTGTTGGGACTTGCGTAGAGTTGCTCTCGATGAATGGGTGACAAGTGGCCAAGGAATTTCGGGATGATGATTGCAGAGCGGCCATCAACCAGGCGAGCTGTTCAGCACATTCCGCAACGGAAGCTGCAGAACCAGATACTGTTACCTGGAACTGCTTGTTCACAGCATTGGCACTTAGTCTTGTTTTATCGGGCAGTTCGCCTATTTTTTGTGAGTGTTCTGGACAACGAGATAATGATATCGGAATTTGGAGAAAGCATTACATACCCGAGTATTTCGTGCCAGGAGCAAGATTCGCAATAACGAGAAAAGCATCCAGAAAACTCGGTCCATTAAATGACCAGGTTTGCTTAAAATATTGCTTCACAGTTACCACTTGAACGTATGATGAGGACGCTACAAGGACCCTTTTTGCGTCTAGGTCACGTAAGGGGTCATTATAGTCTTCAAGAAGGTGATGACGGTAAGCAGCTGGGCCCCATTGGAAGTCGATCCTGCATCGATGAATCCGTGGCGCTGAGTGCCTGCTCATTCTACCGGTAGGGAGTTGCCGGACAACCTTTTCATGAATGCGAGTTTGAGCCGAAGTCTCCATTTCTAGGACTGAATTTTGCTTCAAACTCGAGAGAAGCCACCCATATGCTGAGTTCTCGAGTATGAGCGATTTGTAGGTTGCAACATCACTTGTGCGGATAATCGGTTCTTCTGGGATGCCTTCAAATAATTCGCCTGGCTTGAAGGTAGGAATGTTTCCCACAGTCTTTTGCTCCCACAAGAACATTTTATCCTCCAAGGACATTGCTCTGGGACCACCATTCTCTGGAATCGCGGTCTTACAGTCAAAGAGCGACTGCAAGTGACTTGCTATATCACTTTACAAAATCATGTTAGGCCCAAATACGCGGGAGACCTTGCTTCAGAGAAACTTACCTGTGGCGTTGATAAACGAAGTACATTATCTCCCAGTGCTGTTTGGAGCCTTCAGCGTCGCCAAGTTTGAGAGCAAACGCCTTCAACAGCTCGGGAAGCTTCTCCGATACTTTGACCCATTTAAGGTGATCGAATTCCCGTTGCAGGGCACGATAAATTTCCTCACAGAGGACCGATATATAGTTTTCTATTCTACCATCGGAGACGCTGGAGGCTGATGAAAAAGTTGTGTGCATGTCGCAATTCCCAAGACTATCAAACTCAACAGTGCCGGGAACTGTCGTCGCACACGAACTGTCATGTCGAGATGCAGAAACATAGGCAGAGTCAGGAGGGTCTTTTTCTTTTCTGACATTCTCGACATCGCGCCCAGATCTTGGAGATAGCCACGACTTGCTGGTGAGCTCGGCCAACAAAGCTTCGCTCCCCTCGGAAACTGGGAGTACCTGCGAGTTGTCGCAAACTTTGGCCCACAGTTCATCGTAGTATTTTTTACTGGACAATTCTCGGTTCGGATCTGCTCGACTGCTTTCGCTCGTTCTCGGTGCCTGCTGACTTCGTGTAATCAGACGAGAGCAAAACTGCATGTAGTCTGCTCTATCTCCTGCCCACTCCTATGAGCCGAGAAGATCGAGTAACCTGTTAGCTAATTCTAGCACATTAATCATGCCGAAGCTCACCACAGCCGCTGAGACCAAGTACAAATCCACTTCTCTCACGCACAAGGGATGCGTTCCTCGCTTAGTTTCCCGTTTGTAACCTTCGAGCAGAGCCTTGAAGTTGCTTGATTCGTATTCAATAAGAAGCCGTTGTATGACCCCGTTCAGGATGAAATCAAAGTTGGACTGCATCGCATGTTGAGTGGGTGCTTGAAGAAAAGTAGTTCGTGGAAGCTTACTTACGCAGTTGGTATCGCAGTGATGCTCACAGGCCTTGCGGTGCTCGGATGACGCCCCCGGAGAGATTTCGACGTTTCCCAAATCGCCGCATTCTGTTCCAAGTCCTCCATCGCTTATTTCGGCTCCATTCATTTCAGTGATGATAGGGTACTTGTTTGCTGCTACAGCGACGTGGACGACCTTCAATCAGGCGAGGTGCTGTTGAGGGGCCGCCAGCAGAGAATCTCCGGAACAAATCCTGACCAGGGTCAGCCCATCAGGCGTTACATATGCCTTCTGCGCGCTTCCTACCCTTTGTATCCAAGTTCAGGGTATACTTGCCGACCGGGGTGTATGTATCTGGACGAAATAAACTTGCCTAAATTTGCCTAGGCCTCGGGAACTCGAGTGGAATATATAAGGGGGTCGAGTCCGTCCCCGACATTGATTGACGCTGCGGGGTTTTCCCATTCAAGATTTTACCAACACAGTTGTGTTCAAAGTCCCTGATTGGTTCTGAAAACTCTGCGTACATACAGCCTTATGTCAAATGCTACACCAGCAATGTCAGCTTGGGTGGGGGGCCACAGAGGTGTAGGTGCAGCCCAATGCTGATTTTCACACCTGTGCACCGTCAGAGTGGCAAATTGGGTTTCAGCCTTCTCGCGTCAGGAGAGAGGACTGAGACAAATACAAGCATGGTATACATTGAACTAGGGATGGATGGATTGATTAGCATCGTGTATAGCTTAACCATACTATGTGAGCGTCTTTTCAAGGATTTTGAATTGTGGTTCTTCATATATAAGAGATGGATTTCCTACGATGAAAGTACACACAACCCATCAATTTCAACTTGATGCTTCCAGGGATCTTGTCCTTCCTTTTTCTACACTGCGATGATGACGGACATGTTAGCCTGACCCCTCATCATAAGAAAGACGTCCACCGTATATAGGACCAGGGGACGCATCTCTTTCTAAATTCAAACTACCCAGCGAAGCAACGCGATAGGAAAATCTCCTATTTTTGGTGCAACCCTGTCAATGGTTTCTAAATGATCTTAGGCTTTTAGTAATGCATTTTCAAGAGTAACGCCTAGGGCGTAATCCATAACAACAATACTCCAAGAAATATTTGTGAGTGTGTCCTCCTGATCGCCAATGCAATATATTAGATTCTGAGTTGGGAATTCCTAAAACATAAATTAGCTTCTATTTGTTCCTTAGCAAGGGGATGTAACTTGCATGATAGAAATGTGTTCGAGGAACAGTCACTGCGGGAAGGCGTAAGTTGTAAAGATGTAGGAATGTGTGTGGTTTCATTCCCAAGGCCGCTGAAAAAAAATCCGTGTGCCACCCATGTTGTTGGAGCTTCTGGGGGAAATGGAAACCCCGAAGAGACGGAGTGTTATATTGAGCCGACGATAAGGGTGCTGTCATCTAAGAGTTCAAATTCGCCCAAAGGGTTTGCCTAGATAAATAAAGTCGAATGTACCAACGTATCACCAGCTCTCTGAGTAACAGCTATCAGTGAATACTGATCGGGAAAACCCATTCAATGTAAGTCAATCTGTAAATATTTCCCCTTATATTTGGTCAAAGATACTTGATTAAGCGAGTTTAATGTGAGGGTTTATGTTACTTATGATATCACTGCCACCCCTTGGATGAAATGTGCTTAGGCTCTTGCGCTATCCACCAACCACTACATTCTTTCGTTTCAACAGCCTGAGCTGCGGGACTTGGGAAGAGAAAACTATCTAAATGTAAATCATCCAAAGACTTCGGAGGAATGCTCGACAATAGAGCGCCACTGGGGCTAGCTTTGGTCAAGGTTTCGAGCGATGAATCAATCTCGCTTGTGATATTAAAAATGGGAACTTTGCTGCTGTTACATATTACAAGACTCGAATTCGGCCCGGTACGCTCGGTATCTATCTGATGACACAATGGTGTGAGTTTTGCGTTATGCAGCTCGAAGCGAAAAGTTTGTTGGGTCACATGATGGAATATGGATGCCTTTGTCCAGGGGGTGATACCATACGGTGGAATCGCTTCGCAAAAGAACGTCAGCGTTTTGGAAATATGTGCGGATAATAATGTGATTTTTAAAGGCAACTCAGCTGATTTATTAAAATATACAACTGGTTCTGATCCAACAACATTCCATGTCAAAGATTTCACGCCCTATGAACCCATGCACAGTCGTTAGCAATGAAGGGAATGTGGTCTGAGATTGTGTTTTGATCACAATAAATCATAATCACATGACCCCTGATTTATGTTTAGAGGTGGCTTGATGCTAATCCCAAGGCATTTCAAGACATTCGCAAGATTTACAAAACAGCTTGAAGATTGGTAGAGAGCGTTGACATCTTTGAGACGATGAGTGTAAATGCCCATCATTCACAACCTGTTGAAGCGTTCAAGTCAAATGTCTCTTAGATGCACGTCAGTGCTAAGAAGTCCCTCGTTGCCTTGAACAGTTCATGATACATGGCCCTGTCTCCGCCCAGTATCTTGGCTTCTCTGATGCAGCTCCCCATCCCAGTCACGGCATTACCATCAGCCAAATACCCGCCACCAAGCTCAGGGGAACTCACCGCTTCATCCGGAAGGATGTGTCTGGTGTGTAATTAGCTGATTCACTAATACACCTATCAGCCTATTATACGTCACCAAACTTTAAAGATGGTCTATATAATGTTGAGCAACTCGCCTAGGAGACATGATGTGAGTCAACGAAAAGCCGGTCAGCAATTCTTTCATCCGCACAACAAGAACAGTATTACCAATCATGCCTCTTGAAACCCCCACTTCCGAAAGCCTCTTAGACCTTTTCAGCCTCAAGAATAAGGTTGTGATCATCACCGGAGCCTCGGGCCCTAAGGGTATTGGTTACGCAGCAGCACGCGGTTGTGCAGAAATGGGAGCCAACGTGGCTATCACATACAATACACGCCAGCAAGACGCCGAACAGAATGTTAAAGACTTGATCAAGGATTACGGAATTACGGCCAAAAGCTACAAACTAGACGTGACCGTCTTCGACGAAGTTGAGAAGTTTATCAACACAGTTGTGGCTGACTTTGGACGTGTTGATGCGTTCATTGCGAAGTACGTTCCCCTCCCTCTTCATTACATCGTTCTGCGTCATGGCTAAATTTCGAAACAAGTGCCGGCGCTACTGCTAATGCCGGCGTTGTCGACGGGACCAAAGATGCGTGGGATCGCGTTGTGAAAATTGACCTCAATGGAGTAGCTTATTGCGCCAAGGCTGTCGGCTCTCACTTCAAGAAGCAGGGCCATGGATCTTTCGTCATCACAGCTTCCATGTCGGGCCATATCGCCAACTTTCCTCAAGAGCAGACATCTTATAACGTAGCCAAAGCAGGCTGCATCCATATGGCCAAGTCGCTGGCAAACGAGTGGCGTGATTTCGCTCGTGTGAACAGCATTTCTCCAGGCTATATCAACACCGGCCTTTCGGATTTTATTGGCACAGAGACACGGAACCTGTGGAAGAGCATGATTCCTATGGGGCGTGAGGCAGTTGCAAAGGAACTCAAGGCCGCATACGTCTATCTTGTGAGTGATGCGAGCAGTTATACTACGGGAGCTGATTTGGTTGTTGATGGTGGATATACTGCTCGATAATTACATCCAGTCGAGTTTGGTAGTCATAGCTCTATTTCTCTTGTGAAGAGAAAACTGGGGGTCGTTTTTATATAAGTGTTGTGCCATCGTGGATTGAAGCATTTATTTGGTTATGTGAAAGAGATAACTATAGAGCCGCTTTCGACGAAACGAACGACACTGTCGCCTTGGTGTGTTCAGCGACTGACAAGAGAGTGCCTGTTATTTTATCTCTCATCTCGCCTCGTATTGTGACAAGCCGTTTCCCGATCTTCAGAACTTGGCACTCGACCAATAGTTCCCTGTTCGCTTTTGCTGGTCGCAAAAACGTGACGGACAGATTTTGAGATACGCCTCCAAATTCCCAGAAACCCTCTCTTGCCAGAGGAGCTGCACACATAGTTGTGCACATGTCGTAGATGAGTGATATCGCGCCGCCGTGTAAATTTCCCAGCCTGTTTGACAGGTTTGAGCCACCTTTTACCAGGAAAACTGCCATCGTCTTTTCTTTGCAACTGTTTGCAGAGACAAGGGTTATTTGATCGCGCATTAACTTGTCGTCCATCGCCTTAATCGACGTCAGTTTTCACCATGTAGATTTGAACATATTATCTGCTAGTCCTTACATCTTGGCCATCGGCTGATACTGGAGAGACATAGCCCCGAATATATGCTCTGATTCGTTCCGCTGGGTCTGAAATTTTTAGATCGAAAGCTACCCCGGGGACAGAAAGCAAATCCGATGGATACCCCGAGCCGTCTGCCATTTTGTCAGTCGAAGCTAAGTCATCAAGTCAAACAAGAATCGGAGAAACATGGATTTGAGATGTAATATCAATGCGCCCGCACCAAGCCTTTTTGACCCCAGCTCTCGGCTTCGGAGATATATTGGCGGAAAACTAGCCGAGGTTCAATTGCTTGGTACATTGAGTAGCCGTCGACTGATGAACTTTAGCTCTAGAAATATGACTGTTCCATCGAGTCTATGAAAAGGCACGAGAAACATGGCGTTCGATTGTCAATACTTCCCACTGACTTGGACTCTGGTAGTTCTAATAGTTCACCTTCCCCGCGTGGTTGTTCTAATTGCCATATCCCCGCAGCCGCAAGTGCCGAACACCAAATGGAAAGATAATGCACAGAAGCTTGATATAAATAATCTAGAGCGCAAATTGTAAAGTTCTTCTTTTACTCTGGCTTGCCGTGGCGCGCGAGTAGTCCGCCTACTCCTCAAAAATCTTCCAACTCAGATTGACTCTAACTCATTACTAGGTCTAGATGCCGACTACAGAGTAGCATGCTATGTTAATATAATCAAGCAGAAAACTCTAGGTGTTTCTTCATCCATAAGAAATATAGCGCATGTGATAACCTCTGTCTTGAGTAGATATTTGGCATTAATTAAGTAGAACACTGCTGAATCTTGGCTAATCATGTCCGTCGTATTGTGCGAAGCCTTATAAAGTAGCTATGGACAGCATAACAAATCATTTCCCGAATTAAACCAAAGCCCAAAGGAGAACGGTCCCCCAAGAGGGCTCAACAATAATGGGCGTAACCGGTGGGGCAGCAGTTTACGAACGCAGCCCTGATGGTGCTGGTAGGATTCTTGTAAATACAGAACTATCAACTGTTAACACCTGAAGTCTCGAAGAGAAAAGTAGCACTTCGTACATCACCACTGGTCTTGCCACCGTAAGCAGTGCAGCATCTTGACCGCATATCTTTGGAGCCGCAGTAGCACTTGACGTCCGCGGCACTGGCAGCTCCGGCAAGGAGAACGACGAAGAGAGGGAAGATCTTCATGATTTTTTGTTGGTGGGGGGTTCTTATTTGAGTTTGAATAGAGTGATTTGGAGTTATAATGGCTTGTTGATCAAGTTCGTTTGAGATCAGGAAGTTCCAGCACGGTATTTATACATTGGATTTGCTCGAATACGCATTGAGATGGAACTTGTATGTGTCAACCCGCATAATACCATGTGCGGCTATTGCCATTTCGGGTTCCCATTTATCGCTTGTGATACGAAGATGGTCTGAGGCGATCTAGGTGGCAATGAACTATGTATCGAAAGCGGTGACATTCTCCAGGCTCAAAATGAAGCCAGGTACATATTTCATGTTGATCAACTATCAAACCTAATCAGCGTACTTGAGCCCATGATTCATGTATCATTGGCGAAATAGGACCATATATCTTCCTCAAACTATGTACTAGGAAATCTGTCCACTTTCCCTCTTTTTTTCTGTTCTTCTGTTCTTCATTTTTTCCCCGTTATATGCTTCGCGATGTAATTCTCACCGCTGAAATCAGAAAGGGTAGCACTGCCTATGGGGTGATGCCTCGAAAAGGCAAAATGGAACTTTCCCAGGATGGAATTGGCCGACAAGCTGCCATTTCGGGTACCGGAACGCTTGAAAAATCCCGGAGATTACGTGAAAAACCATGAGGAATGGCATCCCTACCGATCTCGAGCTATTCGGGTTCAAAATCATAAGTTATACCTGATATAGCAATTTCTCTACCTAATGATTTACTAAACCTTTAACTCTGGCCAAGAGACCGCACCATTGCTTGTTTAATGCAGCCCCTGATTCTTAGATTCACAAGTCGTGGATAGTTGGGCCTTGAGAAACTTACTTCCTCAGCCTATTTGTTGGCTTTTCCATGCTAGTAAAGGATCGTATTAAAACAGCAATATCTACAGCATCAACGAGAAATCCAGGGTAGAGGCTTTCCTTCCCTTCAGTGCCAAGCCATCTTCTCATTGAAACGGGGGAAACATGACAATATTATGCTTCTCAACAGGGCAGCGCTTCACAAAAGATCTTTCCCAACATGGACAGAAATTCCCATGGAATCCTTCAAGCGCATTACCATCATAGCCGAGCTCATATATTGCTTTTGCCACATTGCTTCCTCCAAAATCCTTGAACCAACGATACATAGCTTCCAAGGAGCGCAACCATAGCCGCAACTCATCGCATTCCACTTCAACTCAATTCTAGCCCCGCCTTGTTTAGACCTGGGTTAGAGTAACTGGTTGTCACTCAAATATTGGCCAGATACACGCCAGATATCACTGATATAGTGAGTGTCACATATCACGTAAAGCAACACTCGCTATCCATGGCGATGGTAACGAAATTGATCGAACAGAAACACGCGAAGTATCATATCGCTGGAATGGACACTGGTATTTACCCAACAGCGACTGAAAAATAATGGTAGTAAATGAATAAGACAAGCAGCAAGCCCTTAAAAAGGAGAGGCTATTATTTCTCCTATCTGTGAAATAGCGAAGAATAATAGATGCAGGCAACTGGTCTGTGATCTCGAAAATGATCGTCGAGACAGTGGCGAGAGCGGTGGCGAGAGCGGCAGCCCGGAAGCTGCTATTTGTATGGATATTTTAGATTACTAGAGAATGAGATGAAGGCAAACCAAAGGTGCCAAGCCAATATGTCTTGATGAAGCTACCCAGAGCCAGAGCCATAGCCCATGGGAGGATATAGGCATGCTATTGGCCTCGGGGGTTAATCGCATCAATGGATTCCGCTCATCACCGGTGGATCCGCCGTGGGACGACGCAAGTTGCGGATTTAATAGGCAATCCATTACGCATTGACTGACATCCAGGGCACTAGAGACCTACTAGGGTTCACTCTCGTCAAGGAAAGGCAGCAGGCAAGCAGGCCACACATAGAAGAAACAGATCAGCACGATGAATGGAACCAGCCCCAACATAACTCTGCTGCCGGCCACACGGAGGGTGAGAGTAGATGCCAAGCAACGGGCCGAGACCGAGCCCAGCACTTTACATTGTTCTTACCGTGGTTTAGACCGTAGTTTGTGCCTCAAAGGCAGCCAATTAGGTGGTGGCCTCGGGTGTAAGCACCCACACTAATGCCTTATCACCGTCGTCAGGCAATTCGGCGGTTGTGAGGTGACATTTCACTTGGCCATTTTGAGTTATTTTCCAGCATTATTCGTTTGACTGGGAATAAGACTCCCAACAATAAGAAACTTCAAGTCAAGAGCAACAGCGAGGGCTCTGCGTTATTCCTCCAATCTCTGCTGTTGAAGGTGTTTATTGTGAGGATATTACACGTAAATGTCGAGAGCGTTGGAGCATCAGTTTGTGTGACACGAGGTATTTTTTAAGATGAACTCCTAGACTATGCTTACCACTTTCGGCAAGATGGGGGCTTTCTATGACCTAGATCGTGAATCGAATTTTTCATCCCTAAATTTGCTTTTTACATTGTGTTACGGAGAGACTGTGACTGATCTTGAGGCCAGGGTCGATTCATTGTAACGCGAGCGCTCCTGTCTACAAACACCTATGCTTTTCTTCCGGGCGATTCTATCAATTGAGACTATATCAAGTACACTTTGATCCTGCCGACAAAAATGACTACGTCGAAGGATATCGAGAAGCGCGCCGATCCTTCGGTTGGCGAGCGTCGTACAAACCCTGTGGATGAACCGAGAATACTGAACAAGGAATCCAAATTCCGCAGTCTCGATAAGTTCGCAAAAGTTCTCGGTGCTGAAATCCAGGGCAACGATCCCATCGCGCCAGAGGAGAAGAAAGACCGCCGCTACCTCAAACTATTCACCTTATGGTTCTCAATGGACTTCAACCTTCTCTCGTAAGCCGGCCATTTCTCCTCTTCCCGAGCTTTCCTATAGCTTTTGCTTGTTAAATTGTCGCCTGCTAACCTAATTTATTCTTCCTCAGCGTTTCAACGGGCATGTCAGGCACTCTTGGCTTTGGGCTGGGTCTTCGAGACTGTTCACTCATCATTCTGTTCTTCAGCCTCCTTGTGGCCCTTGTCGCGCCGTTCTTGTCGCTATTTGGAGTCAAACTTGGTATCCGACAGATGATACATGCTCGGTTTTCCTTTGGGTAAGTCATCACTTTTGGTATCTGTTCAGCCCAACCTCAACGCGCGCTCACACTTACCCCCTGTCTGATACAGCAAGTATGGTGTTGCGATTCCGCTTGTCCTCAACATGGCAACTATTGTCGGATACGCCATTCTCGGAAGCATTCTCGGGGGGCAAGCTCTGTCAGCTATTAACCCTGAAAATCTCTCAGTGAATGTTGGCATCGTCATCCTTGCAGTCATTAATCTGGTCCTTATCTTCTTCGGTTCGAGAATAATCCACCAGTTTGATCTATATGCTTGGTTTCCCACCCTTCTCGCCATTCTTGTCGCTGTCGGATGTGGTGGGAACAAGCTGTATAACCAGGTTGACACTGAGCCAGCAACGGCGAGCAATGTCCTCAGCTTTGGCGCGTTGATTGCGGGATTTTTCCTTTCCTGGGCTAGCATCGCGAGTGATTTCACAACCTACTATGATTCCCAAGCACGCAGGTAAGTGCAAGATGATCTTGCTCTCCTCAGTCTATCAGAGACCTTGACGTAGAATGCTCATTCATGGTTTTCTCGATATAACAGCACAACGGTATTTGCCACATCTTACCTCGGCCTCGTGGTTTCAAGCGTTCCTTTGATGGTTCTGGGTGCTGCCATCGGAGGCGCGGTTCCAAACATTCCAGCTTGGGAGGAAGGCTACACGAGCAACAGCGTGGGCGGCGTTTTGGCCGCCATGCTCGAGCCCGTAGGGGGCTTCGGCAAGTTTCTCCTTGTGCTCCTCGCATTAAGTGGCTTGGCCAACATGGTCGGTTCGGTCTACGCGCTCACGCTCAATTTCCAGGCTTTGTTCTGGCTGGTACGAATCCGCATCCCCCGCTTGGTTTTCACCCTCGTCGCGACCGCCCTCATCATCCCGGTAGGTATCAAAGTGGCCGCTGATTTCCTGTCTTCCCTGAGCAATTTCCTTGGTATTATTGGTTACTGGTCGGCTTGCTTTTCTGCTGTCGTACTGGTGGAGCATTTCGTCTTCAGGAAGGGCCTGATGGAAAGCTACAATCTTGACGTCTGGGATAAGGCCAAGGCCCTGCCCACAGGTGCAGCAGCTATTGTGGCTTCGATATGTAGCTTTGGAATGGTTATCCCCGGCATGTCGCAAGTCTGGTTTACCGGACCTGTGGCCGTCTACACAGGCGACATTGGATTCGAGATGGCTTTCGTCTTGACGGCGGTTTTCTACGTACCCTTCAGGTACATAGAGCGGAAGATGATCGGCCATTAAGGATCACCTGTATCTACGTCATAGTCAACGTATGCCAAAGCGTATTTAGCTAGAACGAGCCGCCTAACAAGAATGTCAAGAAATGGAAGACGTCTCGAGATTGGAACTCACGATGATAGGTCTTTGGATCAATTTAGAATGGACTGGGGCGTGGCCAACGCAAGTAAACAATCTCTATTTATCTTCTCTCTGTGTGTTCCTCATCATCAGAAAACAGCTGAGCCTCTTCATCCGTTCGCCAGTCATCCAGAAGTACTTCATTCTCCTGCTGCAGCTTCTTATAATCCTGCCTCTTCCGATACTTGGCCACCGTCAGGCGTATCAGTCTCCTCGTAGCCAGTCCCACCCCAACACAGAGAATAACCACCAGGACCAGGGAAACCCACTTCCGCCAATCCTTGAATAATACCGGATATAGTCTCATGAAAACTTTGACACCAAATTCTGCCCACGTCTTCTTCCGGGACTGATCGGGCATCAGACCATGGCGTATGAGGTCTTTGAAACGCGGACCATTTGGCCCAGATACGAAACGTCGGAAACCGAATTTGGGCAGGACTTTCTGGCGAGGGTCAGAATCCGGATACTTAGCATCGCCCCAGAGACCTTTGTAGTAAAAAAAGGATGTAAAGTTTGACGGAGGTGACGGGGACGTCCGATTCGGGGGCTTGAGTCGTGTGAGGGTGAAGGAAGTTGTATCAAGGTGATAAAAATAGGCGGACTGGATAGGATCCCACTTCGGTCCTTCATCGCAGAAGTCAATCAAGGCTACATCGTGGATGTGCTCGCTGCCAATATTTCGTAAGTACTAGTTAAACGCATCGAGTGAGGAGAGTAGATACCCTGGTTTGGCATAGTTTGCGTGCGATCCATAAGCGCTATAAACGACGGGCTTTGATAATGTCAACATTTACATGCACCAAACACAATGGAGAGTTGAAAACGAACCCGTTCGTCCACCTTGGAAAGTTCCGGTTCATCCCAGTCATAGGCGCTCCCATCTCTATGTTGGCTGTAGTAGACTCCAACCGGGCGTCCGTCGCGAAAACGAACCATATTATGTTCCCTACATAGAATGATCAGCATGTCCGGTGTAATGTAGGAGGGTGAGAAACAAAAGCTACCAGTCGCCGACGTGATTGCCAAAATGCATATCTATATCAGCCTTGCTAGCACTGATCAATTGATTGAGCGGCTTCGCGACCTGTGTGATGTTTGGGCCCTGGTCAAATGAGTAAAAATAGAAATAGAATGCGTCAAAGTCTCTGAACCTGTTCTCAACGAGAACGACCACAGAGGCAGTTGCGTTCCGTAGCTTGCCCTCATGGTCAGGCGTTTCGCCCAGCATCCAGGCCGGGCGTGAAAGAGGGTTGTCGTTGGAAGTCAGAGCTACCTCATCTCCATACTGATTGAGAACTTCGAGGTTGTCCAGGTCAAGCGAAGGCAAGCCACTGATAGGCTTCCCGTCAAGTGAAGGCTTCGTTCTCTGAATGTGACCTAAGATGTCGCTAGGCCGGAACGGGTCTTGTGAATGCAGCCACACAAGAGGAGCTACGTAAAGGCTAGATGTTAGTGGTATTTGGAATAGGGCAAAGCTTCAGACTTACCATGACGCGTCACATATTCGGGATATTCCTCGAGTGCCGACTTGGCCAGAGCGAACGGACAGAGTAGCAGAAGCAAAGGCAGAAGCAGATTATATCTCAATATGAGAAGGTGAAAAGAAGAGCCCCCAGCCATCCTCGATCATGCCCGTACCCGTGCATGCTCCCTCGAAGATGTTGAGAAACAAGAAAGATGGAAATAGAGCTATCAGCAGTTGGCTCAGATTCCTTATTTTGTGCATGCGTCAATAAAAGGCAACGGGAAAAAGAAAGCAAAGATACGGCGAGGTTCATGCAATCGCGGAGCTCGGGACGGCCGGAATGATCGTTCATTGGGTAACGATGCATATTAATAAGTTGCAACGTAAGCCGCCAAAGGGAATAGTAGCCGGGTCAGATCCCACAAAATCCTACAAAATCATCGAGATTGCCTTCCATTATCCAAAATGACAAACAGAAACCCTATTCAGGCTTGTGCCATGCCTTGTGATGTTGCGTCAAGGTATATAGCAATTCGCTGATTTGCCCAAGACACGGATCAGGCCTGAATGCCTTGGGACTTGAAGCAAATCAGTTATTCTCTGTTTTCGGGCCCCGCGGATTAGGGCTACGTCATACCTCTCCCGTCTCGTGTCTAAATCTAGAAGTAATATAATTCTATTAAGTCCTGGGGTCGAACACAATGGAGAACAAACCCCTCAAGAGGCTCTCTCTACAAAATTCCTGCGCAGGATACTACATACAGCGCTTTCACATCTTCAAGAATCGACTGCCAGTACTCTGCAGCTTGATGTGTTTGGCGGCGGAAGGGGTTGTCTGAATAATAGACTAGTGGGTATTTCAAACTAGCCATGCTGAAGGAAACAAGTTTCCAAGAAGATAGAGAAACTAGAGGTCAATAATAAAGCTAGATGTAGCTATAAGAAATGCTCTACCCTGCCCAGATCGGCAACGTAAACGTGGATTCCTCCTCCTTACCAGTCCTTCAACAGCATCCATGATGGAGCAACATTCAATGATATCACTGCTAGACTATTTCTATCACCACAGCCCGTCCTTCATCCCATGCCTCTCCGTCCATAATTCCATGGAGATAACAGTCCCCGACCACAGAATAACGCCCTTCTGCCTGCGGTCGAAGGATGAACGGCACATGGCAGCCGGCAATAAGGACAACCTTATCGCCTTCACTCCTTCCAATCCCAACGGACTGAGGGGCCTGACCTATGTACCCCTGGGATGTAATGAACCTCTGTAGTCGGAATCCGTTTGCGGCTGCCGATGCGAAGAGTTCAACATTACAACCGAACCCGGGCGAGTCCCAGTCGACCATAATATCCTTTATACTTGCAACATCAGCTTCAGAGCGTGGGCCGTTCTGAGGCTTTTTAATGGAATGGGCCAGAACCATTGCCATGGCAGTTTGATTAAGTGCTGGAGCGCGTACATGCCAAGCATTACCTTCTATATCGCAGGTAGCGAGCCGGGACAGAACACTAGCTCTGCATTCGTTAGGATAATGGCGATATCCGTCCCGAGACAGAAGTAAGTTGTGGGCCTTGACGAGACACTCGGTGATTGGGTCAGCGATCTCAGCAAGATCTACTTGTCCCTTGATGTCCGTTCTGCAGGTGCCGAGTTGCTCGATTGAGTCAAAAATGAGCCCGCGTACAGATAATATGTGAGAACCTTGGATTTCCCGGGAGTGAAACGCTGGATCGGAGTGGCCAGACGCTGAGAAGATGCAATCGTTGATACGGTGTGATGGAGTGCCAAAGGTACTTCTCGTTTCATCAGCGTTCCAACGAGGAATCCAAGAGGCGGAGCCTTTTGGGAGATCCTTGGCTAAATTTGGGACCGAATGAAGCAATAGTGGCCCTTCGCCTTCTTCAATGGCGTATTCAGCAACCCGGATGAATATATCATCTTCGTTGAGGCCGTATTTGGGTTGAAGGGATGGGTGATCAGCCTGCAAGGAGATTCCGATAAGAGCGTAGATTAGGTCACAGGCTTTTGTTGCTTGGCTCCCATTTGTAAATGCAAGCAACGTAAATAGAGGTAGAGCCAGCAGCTCTTGATCTTGCCCTTTTCTTGAGCGTTGAAAGTTGAGTAGACTAATTCGTGATGAAGGGCCTGTGTGATCAAGAAAATGCCTCCATATCTTGGTTGCAATCGCACTAAATATCCAATCACGAAGTGTATCACAGAAAATGTCAAGATCGAAAAGTGTGTTTCCATGGAATATTTGGCAGTTGTTGGATACATAGCACTCCTGAAGTGTCCATGCTCTCTGAAACCACGAGTTTTCTGAGACTTTTGTCACTGACTGCCAAACATCGCTCTCTCGAGCCGGGAGACCCCATTTCTGGAGATAACTGTCAACTTCACTTAAGAAATCTGCCGTGGGGGTGCCACCGCCGGCATATTCTGGTAACATTCCGTCCTTCTTAGCTTCACATAGATGTTGCATGGCTTTGTTTGCCTCTTCCCAGCCATCAGCCTCTTCAAGGTAGACAAGAACCATGCGAGCTGATTGATAAATGAAACGCATGAGTTGCACTTGGGACGACTTCTCGTCGTTATCCTCTTGATTTATGCAGATTGCATCCACCCAGATGCGAAAGGTACCCTGCCGACGTCGCCATCTTTTGAGCGCGACACTGAGGTTTTTTCTTATCTTGAGCATGTGACCATCGATAAATATCGGGATAGTGGCCCCTGCTTTCCCCCAGACATAAGAGAGGGCAGTGTACTCTGGAGTGCTGTCAAGACGATGGATTTTGAGTTTCGCTCTAAGAGTTGCTTCGAAATCATCAGCGGCGAATATGGTGAGTAATCGGATACTCCTCTGACGCTGTATTGGGCTGTGCTCATAGCTCGGAGGAGCTGGACCGTGTAGGCCGGTCATAGCGTCTCTCTTCGCTTTCGTCTCTCCTTGGCCACTTTATTTCTTACAATGATCTGGAAAATGTTGGAAAAGCGAAGCTGAACAAGAGGTTGCGTAGCTTCGCAGCCTAGAAGATCTACACGGGGTAAGGCTTTCACGTAAGGTTGATTGCCTTTTTGCATATTTCTACGTATATACTAGTATGTACTAGGTAGTCTATGACTCTAATTAAAACCACTCAGCTTTCTGTTACAATCTGCTCAAGATAAATCACGTTTAATCGCTATCAAGGACCAAGCTGCAGAGCCACAGGAGTTGAAATGTAGTCTGTTGAGGAGATGAGTTGAGGGAGTCTAGGGTAGGCGATGACTGGACCAAGATGAAGCTGTTCCCACAATTAAGCTTCTAATTGGCTAGCGTTGTTGATGCCCAACGGGCTATTGAGACGCTAAACTTGAATGGGAACGCCCCTTTCTTCCATCGCGAGTTTTCTTCCCTCTCATCACCACTGTCGCGTGTGTTGTGATATCCGATTCCCGCCGCGTGTAGGCGCGGTGCCGTTCATTCGAGCATAATAGCATTACATTCATTCATTTGTTTCATAACTCCACATTCTTTACACCAGCTACCCAGATAGCTTGCTGGTTGGCCGCGTACCGGGCTGATGAGCCTACGCGTCGTCAGCTGTCCCCGCTCCTTTGAATCAGCCAACCATGCAGATCCATAACATCATGTATCTGTTTGTGGCGCTGCTGCTGCACATACACACAGTCCACAGCTTGCCAGCCTCTTCGAGTGACACTCAGACTGTGTGGGCCACTCCCCACGACAGCTATTCTTCTTCCGTTGGTGTCCTCGGATGCAAGGTCAACACAAACCGCATCGCCTACTGGCCTCAGTCCATTGATTGCGACAACATCTGCATCTCCCTCTCATACGGGAGCCGCACGGTCAAGCTGCTGCGCATCGACCAGTCTCAGGGCGCCTACGACGTCAGCTACGATGCTTGGAACTACCTCACCACGGGCAAGTCGGCCACTGAGGCACCCACTGCTGGTGGTGCCGTGGAGATGCAGACCAAGAATCTCAAGGCGTCCGAGTGCAAGGACCTGATCAAAACCAAAGGCAATGTGCTACCGCTCAGCGCTGCCAATAGCATGAACTTCCTTGCCAGCTGCCTCAGCAGCGACACATGGGTTGGGAACAACTACCGCCTGTATAACATTGCAGACTCGGTCTGTTCCTTGGGCAAGGATGAGAGTTGCGAGCTTGACTGGCCAACCGCCAACCAGGCGAAGTGCCCCTCTACATTGGGAGACACCTCCAAGCTGGACGGCTCCCCCGTCTACAACATCAGGTACCCAACTGGGCAAACTGTCCTCGCATCAACCAATGAAATTGTGGAAAGCGGTGGTAGTGCAACTCTCGCACTACTATCAGGTCCACGGAGCATGATGATGCTGCTGGCATGGTCCGCTATTCTCAGTTATTGGATATGCAGTTCATGATCCCTTTGTTGTTGACCTTGATGTAGTGATGACTCGAATATGTCTTAATACTTTCCCCTTTTGCACATGATACCCTGCATGTATTTCTCATGATTTTGTATAGTGTGTGCCTCAATTATCAGCTCTCCCCTGCATACGATTCCCCGCGGCACGTGTACCGGGATCATTCCGTCTATATCATGAGCCTTTTGTATATTCACTGTCACTGTGTATGTTAGACAGCCTTCGATGGGGTGGCTTATTGTCCTACAAGCGTGTTGTACATAATAAATAATAGTATTCGGGTAATGATCCAAAAAACATCATTCTATCGTGAAACATGGGAACTGTTTTGAAGTCTAAGCTGGGCGTACGTGCTGGCTGCACAAAGCGCAGCAAACTTACCAAACTTCTGTTATACATAAAGCCCGGTATCAGCATTACGCTCGACTTTCTCGACTATGGTATCTCAGGCAAAATATTTTCTGAACTTGGCGGTTCCAAGAAGTCCTCGGGGACCTGGTCATATGGAGGGGCCTGCTCGCTCTTGTCAGCCAAGCTTTCAACATGGGATAAGAACGTCCAACGAGTGCTTACTTGAATCAACTCCGCCCACTTTCTTACGCTCTCGTAGTTTTTACACACATGCTTGGTGTTGAAGTCAGGGAACGCCGTTGGGCTATTGGGGTTAGCCCAGACTTGGCCCAGGACACCCGTGTCGACATTGCACATCAACACTTGACGGATTGTGTCGAGACAATGAGCTATCGAAGACGGACGGTTAGACAATTAGATAAAAATGATCTTCCCTGAAAGGGAACGGAGGGATCGATTTAACTTACTAACATGTCGGCGGAGGATTGGCTCCTCGTTCTTGAACGCGTGTTGGCCAAGGAGCTTGTAGTGGTCGTAATTAAAGTACAGCGACTTTCGGAGTAAGTTCTTCCAGTAAAGTTAGCCTTTGGAGGCAAGGATACAAGAAGTCTGCCATACCAAGCAGTGCAAATGATGCATTCCTTCGACATTAACAAGGAATCCTCCCCCATATTTTTTCGCCCGCTGCACAAATGAAGAATCCAGGCCACTGGCGAGCCCGTCTTCTCTGGAAATAATCCCCGCTCGATCTGCAAAGTGGTCAACAGTGTCATTCATGCTGTGAATTGCAAGGCGTCATACAATTAAGTCCAAGCGCTTCCCAGGCTGCATCCACTTCTGAGGATCCTTGTTGCCGATAAATATTCTCATCCATGAATGAACCGTCAAACGTGTGGGTTCTATATTCAATGGAAGTTTCTCGGAGCAGGGGGGCTAAAACTTTTATAAGTATCGAGACACAATCAATGAAGCCACCCTGTATAGGACCATGAGTTCACCTACACCATGATGCGGTGTGCGAAGCGCAGGTCTGATCAACCGTGTGGTGGGATCGCATTTCCATTCTAATTAACAACGTAGAAACGATGGCAAGAATGAGCACCAATGAGATTATTGAGAGCTTATAAAAGATATTGTGAATCTTGATGCCATGGCCAAGATGAATTCCGCCTGACTCTCGGTCTGGGAGAAATCTATCATCATCTGAATCGTTGGATTCATTGATAAGAGGTTCACGAAGACACTCTTCTTTCGGCATGGTGAGTGTACTTCGTTGAGACAGTTCCTCTTGCTTGGAAGTCAAATGAGGGGAGGGATATACCGTTGTGATGGAAACGAATAAAGGTAGAATGGCAAGTACTATAGACAACGCCTGATCTCTTGGGTTTCTTAAGGAATGGGCGCCAGTTTGTTCGCCGTGGTATTACTAGGCAGGGCTAATAATGTCTGCATTCCCCCCGGCGAATTACTATTTTGGGTGCTTCCATCTTTAGACTACCTAATAGAACGGCATCTTCGCGGTGACAATTACCCAGCACATGATGGTGTAAGGCGCCCCTTCGTGTTCTAGCCTTAGATACTAGCTTCGATCTTCCCGTTATTCTCACCATCTAGAAGTGCGGGGTTGCCGGTGAGATTCCAGCTGTCAGCTTTCGGGGAAGCCTTGACGCCTTCCGGAGATACATCGGCCTGGACCACGACCAATGCAGGTAGTCTCGGCGTTTCCTTATTAGAAACACGGACTTTTGCGACGCTGTATTTGGTTGAGAAATGCGGCCCGATTTAAGATTTGGTAATCGTTGCACGTTGAAAGAGCGGCAACTGGCGTTGACGCGTGAACACCATTTCGGGCCGGAGAGAAGCCACCTGTGAAACTCTCAATCGTTCTTCTCGATTAGGGAATCACACAAAACTCCTCGATAGTGTTCTTTCTGAGTCCGCAATAAGACATCCAGCTTTTTATAAATACCAGACGAATTCCCCGATGATTATCTGATAAACTCATCACACTGCATCCAACTTCTTAAACTACAAAGCTCTTGACCATCTTTTTGATCTACTTCATATTCATTTAAGAAAATACATTACGTTATCAACCTTCACCATGAAGTTCACTCTATTCAGCATCTTCGTCGCCCTCCCAGCCATCATGGCTGCTCCGCTCGCTGCACCAGAAGCAGCACCTGATGCGGCCCCCGCCGCTGCCCCCGAGGCTGTCCCCGATGACTACGGACAGTACGCAGACTATGGAGACTACCCTCCTCCCGACGGCGGTTATGGAACATACGCCGACTACGGCAGTTACTAGGCAACTAATGCGGTTCTCAAATCGCATTTGGAGGGTTTTGATGGATCGGGTGGGATATCCTGTCAACATTTAGAATTTGAGAGAAATTGTTCGAGGATGATAGACTGAAGGAGCGTAATTATAGAACGCTCTTGGCCTTTGTATATCTCTTCTTAATACAAGCCAATTGTTGACCGCTTGAGACTGAAAACTTGTCCGTGCTCCTTCTCCCAGCTGACCACGTTGTAACATGTGATATGAAATATGCAGCTACCATAGACCGATTGTTAAGGCTAGTCTCACGTTTTAACCGCATCGCTTTAGCTGGCCGTATACAAGGATACATAGAAGAAATCCGTAGCCCGCATGTACACTCATGTTGCTTATGCGCAGTGAATTGTTATGAAATTCAACGCTGGCGCATTCAACGATTTGTCCTGCTCTTAGGCCACACGAAACATGAACCCCTGCGAGAAGTTAAAGGTAGTTTTCCTTCTGGAGGGATAAATCGTGGTTCTTCGCGCCCACGTATTGCAATGATCACAGGAAATAACAATCTAGATTTAAGTGATTGAGAGTCTATAGTAGGTATGATCTAGTAAATAAGGAAGTATTGGGTAAATAATGTTTTATAATTGAATGAACCTAGACATTCTGCATATCGGCGGAAGCCGAGAACAAGGATGAAGCAATGGGTGATCTGCAGTGTTCTCTAAACCAAAGGGAAAGCTCAACCCTCATGATTGGTCGAGACATCTGGAGCTGTTGTCATTTTCAATGACTCTTACAGCTCTTCATTAATCACCGAGACCTCAGCAAAGCTTTTGACCGTGTTGCTGAACTCCTCGGATGAACCTCCCAGGATAAGAGTGAAGAAGGACGACACCGTGCTCGTCAAGATCTTGTCCAGTCGCTCACCATCGATGGCCCCAATGAGAGATGCCGCTTGGGCTTTGGCTTCCGCAGGCAGGTTCAAGGCGTTGAACAAACGGGGCATATCCGTATACGATCCGTGTAAAGTCCCATTCAGCGCAAGCTCTGCCTTAGGCCCACTCAGGCTCTTCCAGAATTGAACCCATGTATCGTCTTCTTGATGGTGGTTGGGTCGGCCCAGTAGAAGAAAAGGCTCCTCAATTCCCTCGGAAAGAACGGGATCAACAAGTTTTCCGTCCAAGTCCACACCTCCAAGAAATTGTTTATCTGCCTTGATCACCGAGGCAGCACTGGCACCTCCCAGAGAGTGGCCATATGCAACAAGCTTGGAGAAATCAATACTCTCACGGAGGCCAGCGGGGAGTGATGAGGTACGCTTAAGGTCGGAAACAACGTAAGACAGATCGGCAGCTCGGACCTAATACTGTTAGTACGTCCATTCTATTCGATCTCACTGATGGGAGCATATCCTACCTGGGTCAGTTTCTTGAGTGACTCAGTCTCCTCTGAAATATTGGCCGACTTGATAATCATCCCATCGGGGAACTCCACAAGATCAGCATCATACGGGTGGTCGACAGTAACCACGACGTAACCCTCGCTGGCAAGCGACATGGCCATCAAGCTGTACATAAGCCGAGAGTTTCCAGCGCCCGAGGAGAAGATGGCGAGAGGGAAGCGCTGCTGTGTGCCATTGCGACACTTCTTGACTGACTTGCCCACATCGCAGACGTCAAGCTTCATATCCGAAAAAGTGTTATTGGGGAGACCCAAGCCGCTGACCTGGGCGCCGTACCACGCTGCAGTGGCTGGAGGAAGGTAGGCGACCTCCTTGTGGGAGCAGGACTTTGCGACAGGCCAGAAAATGGATGTCAGGAGCCTTCGAGGGTGGCGGTTGTCCGCTGGAGAGTATGGGTCAACTCGGGAGTGATCGGTCATGGCATGAATCTTCAAGCCAACTTGGTAAGGGCCTTCGGGACTGGGAAGCAACAAGGCATCAGCTGTAGCCAGCAAGCCGAGTACGAGAAGGCGAAGCATTTTAAAAAGTAAGGATGTTGTTGCTAAGAGGGTGTAGATGATCGTTGAGAATCGAATTGCTGCAGCTCTAGACTGAACATTTGGCCAGATCCCAAGCCTTATATAAAAAACATTTTCATGATGATTTGGTAACAAAGGAGTTCCACAGACTGCTGGGCCTACGTTGGCGACGCATAGAGACTACCCAAAAGGGTAGTCATCGAGCGGACTCGCGGCTGAGAGCCCAATTACCGGGCAGTGCAAGTACCTTAGCATTCAAACAGGGCCGGAAACAATGCAGATCCAATCTCAAGGCCCGTCTTTTTCCATTTTATGCAGATCAACTCAGTGAGATTAGCGCCGCAAGATGGCTTCTCTTTTCGGCATGGTGTCGTGTGGCCCGGCTTGAAACCACGCCTCTTCATTTCGTCATCTCAGCCGAACTAATAGTTGTGATGAGAAAATACTTTGGTCAAGGGTTCAATAATAAGTGCAGATATATAGGGTTGGTTGACGGGTAAAGTATTGCAAAACATACATTGGTGAGTTCTTCATCAAGACCGTGATTAAAGATGGCAAAACCGAAGACTCATGATGAGTGTACGAGGATATGAAGAGAGAAGTGTCAACAATCTTGTATTCTCTAGTCTTAAATCAATGCTGCTATTTTCTAAAGTGAGTTGAGCCGTAAATCATTCTCATTTCCCTCCCAACCGCACCTAATGCATACCTAAGGGCGCCGCTGGGATTGGAAGCTGGCGCGAAAGTTGCTCGAGCTTGTATGATGATCTGGAGAATGCTTCTCGGATCAAGTTTCGCTTCAAGTTGCGAGAAGAAGACGGAGGCTGGGGCAGAAAGCCAACATCGACAAGAAATTCGATGTTCTTCGCGACAGCTACCTTCAATGTGAGAGGCGTGTTGCGGGACAACTCGGCATTTGGCTCCATGTCGACAACCTCGTACCTGTTCGCATTCTCGGCCTCAAGAATGTGCATCACAGGCCACAGAACGTGGGACTCTCTGTCAGCTTCAACATCCTTCCGGACAGCCTGAAGCCACTCTGCAGTTCTCTGGCCCTCCAGCCGATAGCCTATTCCACGAAGAAGAGACCAGAATTGGCCCCAGTGTATTCCATCGTCGACCAGTCTTAATCCTCCAGTTGCACAGGCTGGGTTGAAAGCCGTCTGAATGATCGTACTGGCTACAGTCGTCACATCGGCCACTTCAACCCAAGCATCAGCCATGTCCTCGTTATAGGAGCCAGCCTTGACACACCCTGCAACCAGTCTCCAGAGGTAGTCATCCGCATTTGGGACACCTTCGGAAGTTGTCCCAATCACACGGCCAGGGCACACAATAGCGATGTTGGCTGGCTCAGTGCTCTTGCGCCGGAGTGCTGCGCGCTTTACTACAGCTTCAGCAACGTATTTGGCCTGGCTGTAGCCAAGCGCATCTGCAGAACTGAGTTCTCGTACGATATCCTCTTCTTGCTCATCGTTGCTTGTCTTCTCCCGACCACCGGTCACATACAAGAATCTCGTACGCTGGGAAAGCACAGCAAGTTCTAGCAGGTCGATGGTTGAGGTCACATTCGTTGCTTTGAGCTCCTCATAGCTCTTGCCCCAGTGAACGACAGCTCCGTTGTGGATGATGATATCAATTGAACTTCCATCAGACATTGTTGCCCACTGAGTATCACCAAGCCCCAAACGAGACAAAGATAAATCTCCAGGCCAAACCGCAAGCTTCTCCTGGTGAAAGTCGGTCCACCAGAGAGCCTTCACGGCAGAGTCGACAACACGATTTCGGGCGTCATCATCGGAAACACCTCGCGCGATTGTAATCACGCTGGAGACTTGGCGATGCTCAAGCAGTTGCCGCAAAATTTGAGTGCCAATATATCCTGTAGCACCAGTGAGAAGAACTGTCAGGTTGTTGCTCGGCATGGCATCCGTGCCGCTCTGTGTCGATTGGCGGCTCTGGGCTTCAGCAATCCTGGAATCAAGAAGATTGATCTCTTCTGTCAGATCAAGGCCTGTATGGATCGAGTACTCTGTGCCTGGGGTTGATGGAGTGTTATTAATTGTAGTGGAATCATCAACAACAGCAGCATCACCCTGCAAGTCAGACACCGCTCGTGATAAACTCCGAACGCTTGTGCTTGGATCCATGAAAAGCCTCATGGGTACTCGAACATTGAATGTCTGCGAGATGAAATATGAAAGAGACATCATATTGACCGAGTCTATGCCACATGACTGAAGTAGAAGGTCGTCGAAGACTTTTGCGTTGGAGCTGGAGTCGGACTTTTTATGCCATGCTGGAAGCATTGTTGATATTTTTTCAGCGAGTGCATAAGCCAACTCCTCGCTCTCCGTTATTTGTGCGGAGTCTCCAACTGCGTAAATCTCTGCCGAAGGAACGTGCTGCTCCGCTTCGGTAGAATAAAAGATTGACGCCCCGATTTCACGAAGTCGTTTTCTGTCTGTTTTGCGGGACACTGTCAAGGGGAGCTCCCTCATACCGAAGAAGGCGGTTGGAATCATATAGGTAGGCAAATGCTGAGCCAGCTTGCGCTCCATTTCTGCGTGAATCCGGAGCAAAGAGGCCTCTGGACTATCGCAAATGCCGGTTGCTTGGAGCTGTTTCTTGTCCATTTGTAGGAAGGCAGCCAGAACGGGATTCGAAGATCCTTCTCCTCCCTGGGAAGTGAGAAGCTCAACAACGGCTTGGGATGCTTCTTGTTTCATATAATTCTGAACCCAATGCTCAACTTCCCCTGTTTCAACTCGTTGGCCACGAATTTTGATTTGTCCGTCCTTCCGACCGAGACATAGAAGGGTCCCATCTTCGTTATAACGAACCAGGTCTCCCGTCTTGTAAAGCCGCCCTCTTCGCCCTGGATGACTTGAATTTCCCTGAAGTAGCCACACTGGATCTTGAATAAATGCAGCGGCTGTTTTCTCCTCATTGTTGATATAACCAATACCTATGAGTGGCCCTTCCAGGAGAAGTTCACCAGTGGCACCTAATGGAAGCAGGATATTGTGATCATTCGGATCGACTACCCATGTGATTGCACCAACCCCTCTACCGATGGAAAGAATGTCTCGAACGTTATTGCTGGACTCATTGAAAACGGTGAATGGAGTACATTCACTGGGTCCATATCCATTCATCAGCCTCATTTTCCCCCACCAAGGCTCAATATCCTTCAACTGCACGGCTTCTCCGCAGACAACGAGCAATTGCAGACTTGGCGTTTGTTCAGGCCTAATCAGACGAACCACTGATGGTGTGAGGAACACAGTATCAGCCCTGAACGATGTGATGGTCTCCGTTAGTTGATATCGTCGGCTATGTTCATCTGGCACGCACAAACATCCTCCTATTCCCAAGGTTGCAAAGAGGTAATAGAGCGAAACGTCGAAGGTATATGACGTGAAGTCATAGACCCGCGCTTGGGACTTGATCCCCACCACTTTCTCCTGGTGGCTCAATGCTGTGAGGAAGCTTTGGTGCGATATCATGACGCCTTTGGGAGCCCCTGTGCTTCCAGAAGTGAATATCACGTACATGGTAGAGGAAGAAGAAGTCACCGGTAGATGTACATCCGATTGACGGTTCAGAACGGCTTTCCACAAGGTAGATTCAACGACGACAACCTGTGATGCCAACCCTGAACATAATGTGAGGTTGAGAGGGGAGCATAAAATGATATCAGCATCCACCTGCTTGACGATATTTTCGAGGCGCTCTTGGGGGGCGTTGGGGTCGAGGAAAACAAAAGCAGCACCAGCCCTCAGAATGCCCAACATGGTAACAATAGCCCACCGAGATTTTTCCATGCACATGGGCACCACCATCCCTGGCCTAACACCTGAATCAATCAGCTGGGATGCCAGGGCCTCAGAAAGGGAGTCCAGATCATTATAAGTGAGCTTCCCATCCCAAACCTCAATAGCAGAAGCGTAAGGTTGGGCTATAGCCACTTGGTGAATCTTGTCATGGATACAACTTTCGATGAGCTCTGGGACGTGACGGTTCCTTTGCCAGACGAGATCAAGTTCTTTCGGGGTGATCAAAACAATATCTTCCACCTTGGTGTGTGAAATTGAATCACTGCAGAGCTGCTGCATAACATAATCCATACGTTGTAGCAAATTACTCACCACCCAGGGCTTGATGACATCAGAGTCGAAGTATACCTCGGTGGTTATCGTATCCGTCCCTAGATGCACCTGGAGAAGGAATGGATACTTATTCTGTTCCTTTTGCTGTGTTTGGTCCTCACGCCAGGTACCATACATTTGAGTAGCTCTGCTGGCTCTTGGTGGCTGTATAACAAGCAGTGTTTGGAACTGACAAGCTTTATGGCAGCTAGAGGATAATTTCGCGATTCGATGCATGCCTGCCTGCTCGAAGGGAATCATATCGGTTGCCTGCATTTGTACAGCTTCCAGGTATTCTGAAGCTGATTGTGAGCGAGTCAGATTCACTCGCAATGGAACTGTCGCAAATGTCGGGGCGACCATGGAATCGATGCCGTCCACAGGAGCGTTTCTTCCCGACACTGTGACCCCAAAAACAACATCATCAGAACCAGTCATTTGGCCAACGATCAAAGCCCATGCGGCACGGACAAGAGTTGACATAGTGATATCCATGTTATCAAGCTTTGGTCTTGAAAAGGCGTATTCAAGCCACCCATCTGCTGCGGACTCGTGAAGCGGGGAGGGCAGAACTGGGAAGGGAATGCAGTCATTGTCGGCCAGAGTTTCTTTCCAATACCTCGATACCTCGTCCTCCTTCTTTTCAGAAATATATTTGAGAAAGGCTGAGAATCGAGCACTTGTCTTCTTCGGCTCACCTTGGCAACTGCGACGCAGTTCGTCCATGACGAGCTCGAATGACCAGCCATCAACAAGGGCATGGTGCACTGTCCATACAAGCCACCGCTTTGGAGCTCCAGAGGGATCGTTGTCCTTCACGATGGCGTACCTTGCAAACCGATCGCCGAGGCCCATTGGGAGTGACTTATCCATTGTTAGATACTCCTCCAGGTTGTCACTTCTGATCCACTGTATGATCTCCTTGAGCACAATCTGAACAAGGCCACCGTCGCTGTCCTCAACAACCCGAGTACGTAGAATCGGGTTATTGAAGCTGACAGTGTCCCAAGCTTGACACAGATCTTCAATAGCAATGTTGGAACCTACTTCCAGGACATGCTGCGCAATGTAATCTCCTTCTCTTTGCAACGCCAATGTCACGATACCCTCTTGTAAAGGGGTACAAGGGTATGCATCACAAATCGAAGCTCTGTTGAGTCTGTAGTGGCTAGATACCCTTTCCAGAAAGCTCGAAGTGTCAATATCAGCTCCAAGTAGCGAGAAAGGTCTGATACTCTCGGAAGACCCATCCGTGATTCTCACACACTGGGCAACAAAATCACAGACCACTGGATGGCCTAGGATTTCGCCCACTGATAGTTTTATTCCAGCCTCGCGAGCCTGACCTACGACGGTAATGGCTGAGATAGAGTCACCTCCGAGATGGAAGAAGCTATCATCCATGCCAATCATTGCCTCAGGGATGCGAAGTACTCGGGCAAGAATCGTTCGAATCTCCTTCTCTAATTCGGATGTCGGTTGCCTTTTGGAGCCCTGGAACTTGCCTCGCATCGAGACAAGCTGCTCTATCGAAAAGCCAGCAGCGATCTCGCGAAGTAGTTTTCTGTCCGTCTTTCCAGATGGGGTCATTGGGATGCGCGATATCAAAAAGAAGACTCTCGGAACCATGTAAATCGGCAAATTCTGAGCCAGCTTGTCTTCCACATCTCTTGATACAGGGAGCAACTCAACGCCAGTACCAGGCGCCTCATTTACTCCCTCAGCCCCTTCCCCTACCTTGAACTTTTGGACAAACGCAGCCAACATGGGAGACGAGCCCTCTCCCTGCAGAACGACTACATCAGCGGCAGCGAGGCTCACATCCGGCACCCATCTCTGGACGTGATGCTCGACCTCCTCTAGCTCCACTCTCTGGCCGCGGATTTTCACTTGCGCATCCTTTCGAGCAATGTATTCGAGAATCCCATCCGTTCTGTACCGAACAAGATCTCCGGTCTTGTAAATCCTGCCCCTTCTCCCGGGCGTTTTCGAACATCCTTCCAAGAGCCAGGAGGGATCTTGGATAAAAGAAGCGGCAGTCTTTTCCTTGTTATGCAAATATCCGGCGCCCACAAGAGGTCCCTCAAGGAGAAGTTCGCCAATAGCGCCAGGTGGGAGCAGGATACTGTCATTTGCAGGGTCGACGATCCATGTATTCTGGCCAATGCCTCGGCCAATGAGGAGGGCATCCTCAGGAGATGAAGAAATATTCAGCAGACTTACGGGAGTGCACTCGCTTGGCCCGTACGCGTTGGTTAACTTTGTCTTTCCGAACCAAGTCTCGGCGTCGCTAATCCGTATCGCCTCACCACCTATCACCATGGATTTGATCATGGGAACCTGCTCTGGAGATATCAATCTGGAGACAGAGGGCGTGAGAAAGACAGTATTAGCTCGTAAGCTATTCATACTAGCTGCCAGATCATTTCGACGGTCGGCGTCATTCGGCACGCAGACACAGCCACCACAGACAAGAGCCTGGAAGGCAAAGCAGTGAGACATATCGAACCCATACGAGGAAAAGTCATACACTCTAGAGCTTTTGTCGATGCCAAAACCGGGTTGCTGGTGATGAAGCGATGAAGCCACATTTTGATGGCTGATCAGAACGCCCTTTGGCGTTCCTGTACTGCCTGACGTGAACACCATCCAAACAATCGAATCAGGCGAGACTGTAGGAAAGGCACACTCTAGTTCCGCAATATCAACAGGATTGATTTCTGCGCTCAGGGACACCACTGTTGAGCAGAGCTGTAAACAGAGGGATTCATTGCTTGGAGACGACACAATGAGGGCCGGATTGACTTGCTGGGTTATGGCTTCAAGGCGCTGCTCGGGAAGGTTACTATCAAGCAAGATGAACCCGTTGCCCGTTTTTAGCACAGCCAAAATAGCGACAATAGTCCATTTCGACTTTTCGAAGCAGATCGGGATCACGCTACCAGAGCCGAGACCGTATTTGCTGATCAGCTGGGCAGCCAGTGCCGTGGCCAAGCTGCCAAGTTCTCGGTATGTGAAGTCTCCATCCCACGCACATACTGCAGGATAGTCTGGCTGTGATTGAATCGTCTCTTCAATCATCTCATGCAGGCAACGTTTGATGGTAGATGGAACCTCTCTGTTCCACTCCCAAATTCGCCCAAGATCATGTGAGGATATGATGCTAATCCGGGCCAGTTCTTGAGTGTGAGAAACCTGATCAAGCTGGTGCATGACGTGCTCAAGGCGAATCAGTAACGCCTCGAGATCTTGTAGCTCGATCATTGCAGTATTGTAACATGCAGTAGTTGTGATAGAGCTGCCAGATATCTGTACCATAATCTCCAGCCCAGGATGTTGGGTCCCGGGCTGTGACTGGCCGCTGCCAAACCCGGAAAGCTTCCTCGATCCAGCATCCTCGCCGGTTTCGACTCCGAGTAGGGTCTGAAACATGCATGCATGGGCTGCTCCTGGGTTAATACCAGATATCTGTTGCAGACATGGTGGACAATGCTGGCCCATCTCTGCTATTTGGTTTTGCACCGAGCAAAGATATCGCGAGACGGTTTGGTGCCGTGATAGTTTGATACGCGCTGGCAACATGGCTGGGCTAGTAGCCAAGTTGTGACTTGACACAGTGACGCCAAAGGTGACATCGTCGGAGTTTGTCATGCAGCCGGCAACCAAAGCCCAGGCTGCACGGACCAATGTGGGTGTTGTGATGGCTGTGTCCGGGCATCTTGGATTGAATGTGAATGCGTGCTTGTGTTGTTGCACCGAGACATCGGTCATTTCTGACTGATTTAGAGAGGGGTAAATAGTCGTGTCAGACTCGCAGCCAGTAAGCTCCTTTTGCCAGTATGCCACATCGGTGTCCTGCCATATGGGAACGCAAGCACCATCTGAGGGAGCAGCCATCATCGTAGACTTCATCTTTGCAGTATGAAAAACATCATGATTGGCAGTAGCACTCATAATGGATTGGTCCGAGGAGCGTGGCGATTGGCTCAGATATTTGTTCAGTGAAGTGTGATCAAGCTCGCCAGCTTTGAGCATGGTACTGTTCATATCGACAACTAACATGAAACGAAGAGTGAGAATAAACTGCCAGGAAGGCTATTGCTCCTACCGTTCGTGTACTGGCAAGTTGCTGAAAGCTGAGCTTGATAAGAGAAACAGCATGGTCCAGGATTAAATATACATTGGCGACCACACATCTAACTGCAAGAGTAAGTCGCCATGTCCCTTTCCGCCATGCGGATTTGCCGAAGCACTTTTTCCCTTGTTTCTCTTCTATCCTCACAAATTTAGCTCACACACAGGGAGCGGCGAGTTACCAAGACGGAATCTGCACGATCACGGTTAATTCGTGATCAAGGCATGACGTCGGTGCAGGGGACTGCCTGTAGGTAGATGTGGACTGCAGCAAGGACGGCAGAGATGGAGGTCGATCTAATGCACGCACGATGTGGGTTCGGTAGTTGTTGCTTTCTCCTATTTGTCGACTCGCATTTGTATAGGCTGGGCGCATAGTACAGTATGGAGTTGCAATAGTTATGGAATCAATGGAGATCTGCCTTCAGCTTGTGGGTGAAAGCGATGACTAGCTACATCGAGATAGGTCCCTGATTTAGTCTCGCTGAAAAGCCTCCTCCTAGAGCTGAATATGGAGCTCGTTGTGTTCCACGTATGCATGAATAGCTGGATGGAGGCATATCAGTTGGGGCCCTTCAGTTGTGGCACTCGTGCCGATGAGGCCCCAAATTGATGTCACCTTAGCTCGTGGCCTAGACCGCTTAGACCCTGGAGCGATATTATGTGCCGGAATAATTGGTCTTTGTTTTGTCGCCGTGTCCGCTTCTGACCAACGTCACCTGGAGCGTCTGTGATGCGCGGAAGGAGATATGGGGACTTAATCACAGACATACATGGACATTACGTTACATTTTCGGCTTTAAGGTACCTTGAGATACATCTTTACGTGTAGACGAATGCACTCTAATCTTAGCTGACCCTAGTTTCACTGATTTGCGTTGGGTTTACCGGTACGTGGTAGTGTTTGAGTACAATATTGATAAGTCACTCGAAATGGAAGCAAGATCTCGCTTCCACTCCGCTCCCCGTTCCGTCCCGCAGCTAACTGATCATCTAGACTAGACTCTAGGCGCCTACACAAGTGCCCGCCGAGGCGCTAAGCGCCATGACTTTACCCTCAAGCTGTCTGAGTGCCCCCATGTCTTCCCCTGCCACCACCATGATGGCTCCACTGCTCTCACCCCCAATGCCATTACTCCATCCCAGCAAGACAATTCTACCCTCATCCAACTCAGGGCTGAACCGGGACTTGAATTCGTCAATCGTGACGCTAAGCATGGGTCCGACCACTGCTGCGTCGTTGAACCCCCTGGAAGTGTTCAAGTGCTTCTTGAGGAAGCCAAGCGGGTGGGATCCGGAAACACGAGCATTGAGGTCGATCACCAGGTGTCGTCCATCGAGCCCAGTCATGATATCCGCACCCAGAGGCCCATGGTACCCAAGCTGGTGCATGTACGCGCCGATGGCGTCGACAATGGGCCTGTACTCGGTATGCAAGCGCGCCTGCTGCGAGTAGTCGATATGCGTCCTAGTCCAATGCCCGCCATCGTCTGTCTGCTGGTCCGACACTGATGTGATGAGGGGGCTACCGCTCTTGGGAACGAACATGCACACCGCCATGACGAAGCCCGGCACCATGTCCTGCACCACCAGACTTGCCGGGTAGAAGTGAGCATTGGCGTCCCGGAGCATGGAGAGCATCATATCGACCTCTCCTCGCAGAACTGCCAAAGTCTCGGCCCGGTCTTGCTCGCTGCGCACCATGAACGTGCCTAGGCCGCCATGAGCCTGCGGAAGCTTGACAACAAACGGGATGGCCTTCTTCTCGACCAAGGCCAACATACGAGCGACCTCACTAGCCCGTAGCGCTGGGTCCTGGGCTTGGCCCGGCTGAATGCTGGCATCAACAACCACCGACGGGGCAGTTGGCACCTTCGACAGGGCCAGCTCTCTCTTCGAGTGGGCCTTGAAGTGGGCAGTAAAGGGGACGACAGGGTCCAAGTGGTCCAGGCAGTCTGCAGGCCGGAAGACGCCAATTTTGGCACCAGCAGGGATCTGAAGATCTGCAATATCCTTGATGAACTTGACCGTGGGCCTTTGGCTCTCGGTGATCTGTCCAAACACCTGGGCTGCGTCCGTGGGGGCCTGTTGTCCTGTGGGACCATTGCCAGGCACATCCAGGTCCAGCATGACGAGATCCATCTTGCCGGCGATCATGGCGTGGGACTGCGGCAGTACCTGGGTAAAGACGCGAGCTGCCTGGGTGCTGCCCTTGGCTGGAGCTGGCAGACGGTCCTGGTATGCGTACTTGCTGGACAGAGGCATACCCTGGACAAGCTGGACTTGGCTCATAGGGGGACAGTAGACGAGAGTGATGTCTCCTTCATCGCCTGACTGGGTATACAGGTCTCTGAGAGTTGTGTCTAGTTCCACAGGAGGCGCCATTGTAATGAATTGGTAGAATAGCACGGTTTAAAAGCGGTAGAAGATGATGGGCAATGCTAGAGCAATCACGGTGAAATGTTGGGTTGACTCCCAAGATCTGTAAGCTAGGCACTATTGACAGTCTTATACCTGGGTTTTACAAATCTTCATCTGCAAGCTGCATCATGATAACTAGCCCTGTCCTGTATGACAAGCCTCAGTTGGGTGCCACAGTAGTACTAAGTCACATTAGAGTGCTTCGCAGTACACTTAGATGCATAAGTTTGTATTCTTCTCGGACCCATATCGAGCTGAACAAGAAGATCAACCCCTGAGTTGTACTCTCCTCCTTGCATGGTGTAGCTTGTATATGGATCTTGATGAGCAATGCGAGAAAAGAACTTAGACAAAAGGCCACCGACTGGGACACTTGCATTAGTTCCGGCGATACCGCTCGCTTCCAGGACGGTGGATGGCGATATGGCCGCATAGCTTCATCTGCAAGTGATCTGATTCGATGAAAACTATTTCTACCTTGCATGAATGCAATGGATGTGCCGTGGACCACTACCTGAGCTATAGCTTGGTCTGCATGCTGCAGGGAATAAAAGCAAAAGATCTGCGTACTGACCCACACGAGAGACTCAATCAAATCATCAGACGCTGCCTGTGGTGCATACGCGCTCAATCGATTGAGCTGAAGTTGCCAAAAGAAAGCATAGTGGAAAAAACCAGCCATCTCAGCATCGCTTGTGGAGAGCGCAGAGGGAACAAGACACATTCATAATGGGTATATGTATGTCTACGTCTTCGTAGTGGACATGGAAACGAATCATACCAGGAAGCATATCAATTCCCTCAATTCAGACCATCTATCTCTTAAACTTTCTTTGCTCACTACCACTCATCCCAAGACACAATGGCCGAGTCCAAGAACCTCCCTCCTCCAGCTATCATGATCAACCTGGGCACTGAGGACCTTGAGAAATCAATCAAGTTCTATACCGCCCTCGGGTTCGTCCAGAACAAGAACTGGCCCTACGACCAGATCGTGGCCTTCCGCTTCCCAGAGCCAAACAACAACCTTGGCCTTGTCATTGCCCACAAGGAGCGCCTCGCTGACTTCCTCCGGCCGGGCACCCAGGTCATCAACGCAAAGACCTCCACCGAGGTTATCTTGACCCTGCTTCTCAAGAATAAGGAGGAAGTTGACAGGGTCACCGAGCTCGCCGCTGCTAATGGCGGCGCGGCTGACCCATTCCACGAAGAGAACAACGGTGCTCACTTCAGCATCTACATTCGGTCTTTTGCCGATCCTGATGGCCACATGTGGGAGGTTAATGCGGATATTGATGGCGCTATTGCATGGGACGGCCACTACCCCCAGGGTCGCAAATTTTGAATGAGTTAGATAGGGGAAGGGTTCTCAAGTAACAGGATGGACATGTAGACATGGATTCAGGACATTAATTCCAAACACTGTTCCCAAATGATGATCAATAATCAAGAAAGATGAGTTCATGGCAGATATCCCATCTCGGTGAACTTCCACCCCAGTTCTTTCCAAGTGATGACCCCATGTCTATACCCGTGGCTAGCCTAGCCCCTTGTGAGTAAATTAAGGCTCTTCCATTGGATCGCCGCAAATGTTCGGTCCCATAATCGATGTCATTGTCCCCCTGGAACTGGGGTTGGCTCAAGGTTTGTCTGAGTCAGAGTTGACGAGTGGCATCGCCAATCGAAACTGACAAAAGCAATGAGCCTGAGACATGAAATGCCGAATCCTCGGCATGAGCGTATGAGCGATTGCCCCCTAAGCGCCAAGGTGCAGACATGTCGATGCTTTGCTCTAGTGGAAATTGTATGTCTCAGTCCAGCTCAACGCTAGTCCGCAATCCCTACCATATCCTGCCTGTTGGGGCCATGTTTTCTCACCTCCTCATCAGCCTCTGACCTGAGCTGAACAACACCAACCGGACACCATTCACTAGCCACGGTGACGCTTGTCTCAGTCCTGGGCAAAGGACCTCTGATATTGACGCTAGCAAGGACCGGGCCGGCAACGTCAAGGTGGCGATCACCACTCTCTGCCGTCCATGGAAGCAATTGTCATGCGGGTCGTCGTTAGTGCACAGCTGATCTGCGCAGGGATGCTTCGTTTGACAAAATCTGGTCGTGGAGACGGGATACTGGCTACGGCTAATGCAGACCACAAACTAGAGTCAAAACTAAGAGCATGGGGGGAGAAAGCGAAGCACTTTCGTAGTGTTTTGCAACAAGATTATTTGCTTCCGCCGTCGTTTTCTTCTCTCTAGATACCGCGCGTAAAGCATGAAGCGGAGGCGAGTCGACTATTGAGCTGGCTAATGCATGTCCCGCATCAGCTTGCTCCCGTCGGGCCGCGATTTGGGTATCGAGGGTCTGAGAGTGCCACTATTGCGCCTTGCTTGTAAATCATTTGGCTTTCGTCTCCACGGCTTATTGTAGTCTGGGACGCTCGTGTCACGAATCATTGACACTTTCATCCTCGGTACTTTTGTCTCCTCCGGTGATTGGGTTGATGCCATCACGTGGAGGGGAAACTTGGTATACAATCGTCTTCTTCTTTGATTGGATTTTTAAGACAGCTTCTCCCCTGTATTGCCATTCTTGCTGTACTACCAAGGAATTGGAATGTTCTTCGCTTTCCTACCTTTGTCCCCAATCCATCATGGTTGATCCATCGTCATCAAAGTCTCCTCTCGCATGCCGTGGCGAGAATCAAGACTTACTGGAAACTACACCACTCCTCGACAATGCCGGCGCACAGGACAGCAAGCCCCTGCCCAAGGGCCAGATCTATCTGCTCTGCTACGCGCGGCTGATGGAGATGATCGCTTTCTACTCTGTATTCCCATACCTACCCCAGATGATTCAGTTCAACGACCGCCTGCCCGAAGCTGAAGTGGGCTTCTACACAGGCGTTGTAGAGTCAGCCACCTCCATAGCCGAAGTCTCCGTTCTGGGATTCTGGTGCTATCTGGCTGATCGCATCGGGCGTAAGCCAGCGCTCGTCTACAGCATCATCGGCATGGCCTTTGGGCCGGCCCTGTTCGGCCTATCTAGGAACATCACTCAGATGGTACTCATCCGCCTCGTCTCCGGGCTGTTCTCCGGGGCCGGTCTCATCATCCGGACCATGATCGGCGAGCATGCCACGTCGAAGACCGAGGCCCAGGCCTACGCGTGGTTCTCCATGTCCGACTTCATCGGCACCTTCATCGGGCCCATCCTCGGAGGCTCTCTTGCCGATCCAGTCAGACAGTACCCGGGCCTGTTCTCCGGCATCGAGTTCTTCGAGAAATACCCTTATGCACTGCCAGGCCTCGTCATAGGGGGCATCAACATCACAGGTGCCATCATGTCAGCCCTGTTTCTTGAAGAAACACTAGACAGGAGCGCCGCACGCAAAGAGACCCTCGACCAATGCCACGCCCCAGAACCCGCACCACGGCAGATCACCTCGTGGCAGCTCATCAAATCGCCCGGCATGCCTGCCGCGCTGTCCATCTACGGCCAGGTCATCCTCATCGCCAGCTTCTACATCTCCATGCTCCCCGTCGCCCTCTTCACGCCAGTCGACCTCGGGGGCATCGGCTACACAACGCCGCAGATCTCCATCTACATGGGCGCGCAGGCCGCAAGCCAGGCGCTGTGGCTCCTCGTCGTCTTCCCGCGCCTGCAGCGGCGCATGGGAACCAAGGGCGTCCTGCGCGTCTGCTCGCTCGGCCTGCCCCTGTTCTTCTCCTCGTTCATCCTGATGAACGTCCTGCTGCGGACCGGGGGCACGGCATGCACCGTGTGCTTCTGGGCCCTGACGTTTCTGAGCACGTTCGTCGGCCCCGCCGTCTTCATGTCGTTTGCCGGGATGCAGCTGCTGGTGAACAATGCGACGCCAGACCCGAGCCTGCTGGGCCGCGTCAATGCGATCGCGCTGATGCTGTGTGGCGTCATCAGGATTGCGGCCCCGAGCATCGCCACCGTCGTGTATGCCGTTGGCGTGCGTGGTCAGATTGTTGGGGGCTATCTTGGCTGGGTGGTGACCATTATGCTGTCCACTGGTCTGTATTTCAATATGAAATGGGTTCCAGATTTCTGAGTCGGTATGGAAGCCATGTGTTACAGTATTGGGTGATCAAAATGGGGAACGAGATGATCGTAGCGGAGGGAGAACAAGATTGGGATGAACTGAAGAGCAAATGGTGATGAGTGATTATGGCTCACATTTAATGTCTAATGAATGACGGGGGGGAAGCTTATTATTCACGGCAGCGAGGGAAAGAAATAATGATGGAAGAAGAATACAGTCGCTTATATTTTTTAAACCTGTCTCGCTCAATTTTCCGTGAGTCTTAAGACGTCTATATACATGTATGTGAATATGTTCAATATGTTCATGACTGCACCATCTCAGGTGCATAAATGTGCGTGGCAGCCCTTCTTCAAGGTCTGCTCTTATCTGCGCCCATCGACACCCATCGTATCCCTGGTATGACATCAGCATCGCCTGGAGTTGATTGCCATGCACCGGGAAGAGTGGCTAAAGATGGGGCACAGAGATTATCTGTCATCAATCAGTGATACCTGTAAAGGCCAGATATCATCTGTTGACGGCATCCAAGCAGTAAGCTGATCCATCCACGTTCTCGGCCCGCTAACAAAGGAAAAGGAAAAAAGAGAACGAGGGACGTGTAAATCAGCGTGACAGATGGGATTCCTCTGCCATCTGTGCTATAATGCTTGTGATGGGGTGTTCATGCGATGAAAAGGGAAATCAAGCCCCTCCTCTGGGCGAGGTGGCCGCCTCGGGGGTGCCTGTTTAGAGGCTCCCGTCTTTGCCTTGGTTGCTGAGGATGTGTCCTGCACTCGATCTTCATAAAGAGGAACCAGCCTCCTAATTGAAGAGAGTGAGGTGAGCGAGGCGTTTTTCCGGTGTCCAAACAGGCGCCGTGGGGGTGGTAGAGGAAAGTCTTCCTCGAACACGGACGGTTCCTGGGAAGCCTTTGATGTCTGTGATACCTGCGATACCTGTGATACTTGCGATGCCTGGGACATCTGGGATGCCTGAGAGAGCGGTCTCCCACTCCGGCGTCTACTAGACCGACGAGGGGGAAATAACGGGCTCTTGGGCTCGGGATAGAATGAGGAAGACCCATGGGGGCTGAGCGGGCTTCTGGGTGGCGCGAGATACATCGGTGACCCAGGCAAGCTCAGCTCGCTGTTCCTGCTGGCCAAGCTCGTAGTCGACGATGAGAATTTCCTGAGCCGCGATGCGTAGGAGGAGACGCTCAGTGGCCTCTCAGCGTCTCTCACCAGCAGCAGCCTGTCCGTGGAGAAATCCGTGTCATCCGGCCTCGTCACCGTGCTGTTTGGCAACGGCCATGAGGGAGACGACTCTTCTACAGGTGAAGAGGGCTCCGAGTCGGCGCTGTAGATGGATGAGGCAGGCGAGCCGCATCTCCTCATGCGGGCTTGCGTGGGACCATACCAGCTGATGATGCGCTGGCTGAACTCCGAAGTGATGTTCGAGGGCGAAGAAATGTCTGATCCGGAGGAAGCATCGGAGACGGTCGATGCGTTTGAGATTGTGGAAATATTACTGAGGTTATGTCTATGCCGACGAATGAATCCAGCATCCTCGGTGGGCGGCCTCGGTCCATCCGTGTCTAATAAGTGATATCTAGGTCCAGTGTGAGTCCTCAATCATATGGAAATTTTGGCAAAATGTTGCTTGCACAGTACAGGGTGCAGGGAAGAAGAGAAAGAAGAAAGAAAATCTAAAATCATTTGCAAAACCAGTAAAATAGAGAAAGGTCACTTACGGTGGACCGGCGATGAGGCCATTGAGGGGGTAGAGCCCATCCTCATCTGCCACGATGGGCTCCTTGGGAGAGAAGTCCTCCTTGAACTTTGACTGTCGGGGCGACTGCAGGTTACCAGTCATGTAACTCATGGTTAAGGCGCTGTCGTCGAGGTAATTGCTGGTTGCAAGGGTTCGATGATGCCGCTATCGTAGTCGTGAGCCGCCCCAATCCATACACAAGCGCACAGCGCGGCAGCACTTTGAGATAAAGTCGTCTAGTGATAATAGCACGGAATCAGGCACGAGAACTGGCCAGGTGTGTGTATGATTAATATAAACTGTCGGCGGGCAAAGCACAGATCACTCGCTGGGTGGCGTCATGCTGAGATCCGCTATGCGAAGCTCCGCCACCAACGGGAAATCTGGGTGTGACCTCCGTCTACCTAAGGCCCTCTTGGCGACGAGCTTGGAAGCTCTGCTCGGGGACCCCTGGAGCGGTTATTTGGCAGCTGGTCTCTCCACTCTCTCGCAGGTTCAGGTCATTGTGCATCGCGGGAGCGCTTTGTTAGCCTACGCAACTGTCATTGAGGGGGCTGGCACACGCAATAGTTGCATGATTCACGCGGGGACTTCACGGTCTTCGGGACTACGTTGCTATGCGGTGTGGCATTTGTGATCGGATTCTTCGGCTAACGCTTGACAGCGTCCCTGACCTGCCAGATAGAGTTGGCACTGGGATTGCACTCTGTAGGTTCTGGAGATAATTGCAACCGCCCACTCTAGTTTGTTGGTTTGTCTGGACCGAGTCCAAAGAGGAGACGAGACAAAGATCAGGGAGGGCCAGGGAGGGCCAGACCAGGCCAGACCCGCTGGTCGGGGCCCAAAACAAGCGCTTGGTGCTACTCATAAGAAACCACCACGCTTTTAGACCCAGTGGCAAACCTGCCGCCAAACTGGGCAGATCGTGGGATGCCTCAAGGTCAGCAGTGTTTTAGGTGCCAGATTCGCAACAGACGTTCCGTTGCTCGAGTTTGCCTGAGATGGTATAGTTCCCTTCGGCTCATCGGTCTGGCTAGGGTTGGGAGATGGGGAGCAGCGAACGACAAGGATCCTGCTGATGGGGGCCCTATTTCCTGCTGCTGGTGTGCCCTGGTTATGTCAGCTCTCAGCAAGGCGAGTCCGTCAACCAACGCATGAGCATGACGACGCCAACCCGAATCCGCCTAAGACCCCCTTTACGGCAAAACAGCGCGAGCATTGAGAAACTCCTCTCGCGCGCGATTGTCTGCTCTTCAGATAGTCGCTAAAGACGAAGGTCTCATCACACTCAACAGCGAACTCACAATCACCATCATGTACGCTTGCTGATTTAGGCTGTTCGGGAGGGCGGACAAAGGCTTAGGACCAGCACACGTGCAGAGTGGTTACATTGCTGTGGGACGGGGACGGGTCCTTCCAGCGCCAGCTAGCACCACTGGCGATCCTCAGCTCCTCTGTTTGTATTCCCAGTGCTCGCTATCCTAAGGCCAGATTGCAACACTCCGCGCTCTTTTACCCCGAGATGCTGCATCGAGTTCGGTGGACATGATAAACCGCGCAGAACAACATGCGCAACGTATGATAGTCCAGCCGTCTGGAAAATGCCATCGTCTGGATGAATTCAAGGAAAGGCAGTACTCAAAATAGATGCTGGCCTCCCTTGTAGGCCCCTGCTTGCCGCCTGGACAATGACGATCGGCATGAAACGCTGGCCAAGCCAACAGAACATTCTCCGCCCTATTAATGGCTACGCCCCACAAACCAAAGCGGCCCAAAAGCGCTTCGGAAGAGCCTGTTTTGATATTTTCAGTCGCCAGGGCAAACAGAAGAAGGTCATCGATCATCTCCTGTGAGACGCGCATCTTTATGCGGCCTTAAGCGCGTAGCCGCCTTCATTCAGGGGGCCGAGTTTGATGATCAATTGATATCATGGAAATCTCCACCTTGTGATTTTGTTTTCAGCTACCCTGTAGAACACTCCTCGCGATGAAGAAATGCTCAACAAAGCTCTCGGCGCCTCTCGATCGTCTTTTTAGGGCTGCTGGCCGTGAATATCGTCGACCTGCGCCATTGTCTCAGTTTGGGTGCCAGGTTTCTGCAACTCTCGGGTGTCACCGACTTCGTTGGTCCTAAATGACGATCCGACCAGCATAGCCTCAGCCAACATGTAGAACATCACACTAAACCATGCATCCTATCCGACCAACACGTGGGTCTTAAACCGTCATTCCGTCTATTTCAGTATGAGAAGAATAAAAAACTAGAGACCTTTGTGACACCTCATTTGCTGGCAACGTGGTAACACAGATCCTCGCAAGACACTTGTGCGGGTGTTCCGATGGGTGACCCCGCCTCCAGTCTTTGGGAGTCCAACTGAGGAGGCAGCAGCCCAAGTTCTTCATTGTTATAGGATTTTACTATCCAACCACCACAATCCACTATTTGGCCACCTAAATATAGCGCGGTAGCCAATATCGCAAGGGGCCCGGTTTTTACACCAATAAGGGCACTTTTTCGCAGGGGTCATTACCAAGAGGGTTTTCAACATAATAACACAAAGGTCACAACAGTCAGACACATAGATCTTACAATAAGGCTATTGCAATATAGCTATTAGGGCTATTTCTATTTAAATATAGTATTTTTTCTACTATTTATTAGGGGAGGAATTTTAGGTCTAATAGGTCACATATAATCTCCTCCTATATCTCCTACTACTAATAAATATCATCCTAATTATCTAATAAATCCTCCTCTTCCTCTTTAGCCTAAATATCATCTTACTATATAATTATTAGTATATTAAAATCTATTAGGGTTTTATATTTAATATCTTATAACTATTTAATAAGCCTAGTTTCTCTAATTATAATAATAGACTTATCTAGAGGTATATAGTAATAAGAGGCTTATACCTTATAAGGGGCCTATATTCTAAGCTTAAGGGTATTACTAAATTAATAAATATATATAAGACTAGTTATCTATAGTATTTTAAGATTAATAGGGGCTATTAATAGTAGGACCCTAGCCTTAAGAGATTTAGCTTTAATTACTATCTTATATAATAAGGGATTATAATAGAGGTTTTATATTTTATTAAGATTAAAGGAGCCTATAGGCCTTCCTTTTCTATAGACTATAATAAGCTTAAAGAGCACTATCTCCTATATTTAATATAACTTCTAAATCTAATAATTATTAAAATTATCTAAGGTTAAGGTCTAGTTATTAATAAGCCTTAAGTAGATAATATAATAGTATAAAAGTCCCTAAGTAATAGCTTTTTTATATATATAGCCTTATAAGAGGAAGAGGAGGTCTTTATAAAGCTTTACCTTTACTACCTAATATTTATCTTTAAGGATACTTAATATATATACTATTACTTACTTATAAATTAATAGATAGATTAATTTAATTAAAAAGGTTAATATCTTATAATACTAAATTAACTAAAGATTTTAAATATTCTTAATTTAGTGTAATTAGAAGTTATTAAATTAATCTATAATTAAATTAAAATCACCCTTTAAAGACTAGAGGAAGCACTTTATTTAACTATAGAGTAACTCTATAATTAATATAGTTATATAACCTAGGTAATAATAAAGATTAATAAGATAGGTAATAAAGTAGTTTTTCTAAGGATAAAGCTATATATTAAGGTAATAGTTAATAGGCTACTTAGGGTAGTTATATATAAAGCTTATAAGTTAACTATTAAAGGTTTTCTTATCTTATAATCTTACTAATTAACCTTAATTATAAAGGAAGTTAATAAAGGAAGGGTCTTATTTAATAATATTATTAACCTTCTTTACACCTAAAAACATACCCTTATACTTTATAAGAATATTTATATTAATATACTAATAGTAGAGAAAGTTAATATATTAGGTAAGATAAAGTTCTCTTTCTATCCTATTTATTAAGGCGAGTTTATAATCTATAACTATAATATAAGGTATAGGGATATTATATTCTTCTATAATATTAAGGAGGGTAGAAAGAGCTTACTTATATATAGCCTTAACTTTATTATTTAAGAAGATAGAGGCTACTATAAAGCTCTTCCTTATACTTATTATACTATAGATATTTAATAAAGGTATATTAAACTAATTTATCTTATATATATAGTTAAGGAGGAGGATATCTAGATACTTCTTTAATAACTTAAGCCTAGCTATTAGGGAGATTATAAGGGATATTAGCTAGCTATAAGGGTTATAGTAGTTATAAAAGATAAAGCTATCCTTATTAAGGTAGTAATAAAGATACTAAAGAGGTAAGAGCTTATTAAGCTATTTTTTATAATAGTAAGTAATAATATTAAATATATCTTAAGGGAAGATATTAATTATAGTTTAGCTAATAGCCCTTACCTTTTTAATTTATTAATTAATATAGATAGTAATTTATATTAGTAATAACCTAGCTTTATATATTATAATAATTTAATCTTTAAACTATAAAATAGTCTTATTATAGAAGGTTAAAAAAGAAGAGGTATCTTTAAATATATAGTTATATATAGTATTTTAGGCTAATTAGATAATAAAGGAGTTATTAGCTATAGCCTTAATCTATAACTTAAAAGGGTATAAAGTCTTTTATATATTTAAAGACTACTACTTTAAGGGATAAGTCTTTAGATTATAATAATTATTATATACCCTAGCCTTATAGTAGCTTAGAATATAGCTATAAATATATCTATCCTTATATCTCTTAGTATTATAGATAATAAGTGTAAAACTAGTAGCTTTAGTAACTTTATTATATACCACCTTTATAGCCTCTATAGAGGTAAATACTTTATTAAATAAGCTATCTATTAGTAAAAAGATATTATAAAAAGCTTTACTTTTAGTAGAGTTATTATATATTTAATAATACGGCGTTATAATATGTTAGCATTATTAGGTTAAAAACCTCCTTAGTAATAACCCCTAAAAAAAACAGCCCTTATTAGTGTAAAAACCAGGCCCCTTACGATATCGGCTACCGCGCCACATTTAGGTGGCCAAATAGTGGATTATGGTGGTTGGATAGTAAAATCCTTGTTATGTGCTTCCAAGTCAGGGCTGAGATCAAGTTCAATTAGG